AAAAAAAAGGATAAATGAATATAAGAACTGTAATACGTAACTCATAATACAAAAGGTAAGATAAAACATAAAACTGTCACTACGCTTTCTCTACCGGCGCAACATGGCGTATCTAGAAGAACAATGGGTAAGTAGCCCTATGAACGGGCCCAGCATAGGTTACAATAGGCGACGCCAGTCGGCGCCCCGCGAAACTCAAAAAAAATACACTAAGGCGGGCAATTATAAATGAAGAAGGCTGGGGCGCAACATCCATCAATCTCCCACTTTGCGCTCCAGGCTCTCTGAATCCAACTTCAATTCATGAACACAATTATTATGCTTTACTCTATATAATGCCTTAGTAAAAATATCCGCGAGATTATCATCAGTAGTAACATATTTTTGGAACAATAATATCTTCGTTCATCGCGTCTCGCCCTATATGATAACAAATGTTTATGTTTTGTTCTCGAACGCTCTATATGGTTTTTAGAGAAGTCTATCGCCGCTCGATTATCACATAGCACGATATGTGGCGTCTTGAGGTGCTGTTCCAACTGCATTTCCGTAATGAACATTTTCATCTATTTGGCCTCTCTCGCAGCCTATGACATGGCGATGTACTCCGCCTCCATAGTAGATGCGGATGTGGACTTTTACTTTGTAGACCTCCAATCCACAATGTTGTCTCCAATAATTGTCAACATCCCGCTATAAGAACGCCTATCGTCTGCATCGCCAGCCCAATTTGCGTCTGTCTGAAACAAAATAAAAGGCTCTCCCTTTCTGTAATTTAAGCCATAATCTTTGGTACCGTTCAAATATCTCAGGACTCGTTTTGCGGCTGTCCAATGAATGCGTCCTGGATTTTCACAAAATTGTTATAACTCAGCAACGGTGTAAGCAATATCGGGTCTAGTGCACTGTGTGAGGTATATCAGTGATCCCATTAACTCCCTGTATGGGATCTGCATCATTGCATGTTTCTCTTCTTCATTATCCGGCGAATCGCTCTTGGACATCGGTGTCGCTACAGGTCGGAATTCCTCCATTTCAAAACGCCGTAGCATTTGCAAAATATAAACCCGTTGACTTAATAGTATTTCACCTTGGACATTACGTTGAATCTTTACTCTCAGAAAATGGGAAACCTCTCCAAGATCCTTGATTTCATACTGGCTTCGTAACATTTCTGTTATTTTATCTAAAGTTTCTTGGCTTCTGGAGAACATGACTACATTATCTGCATACACCACCAAAAAGGTGTAAAAATCTAATCGGTATACACAATTTGACGACGCTAAATGTTTGGAATCCCATTCTTACTAAATAGTCATTAAATTCATCATTCCAATAATAGCTTTGCTACCTTCCATCTTTATTTTCATATAAAATTTCATGTACAGATCTTCATTCAGTCTCCCATTCAGGTAAGCACACTTTACATCGATGTGCCGGGTCACCCAGCCAAAAATGGTTGCCATCGCTAACAATATTCTAACAATGGCGAACTTGGCCACGGGGGCATATGTCTCTTCGTAATCTTCACCTTTCTTTTGAGTGAAGCCCCGTGCAACTAGTCTTGCTCGGTAACGAGCAATTCTACCATCAGCGTCAATTTTTATTTTAAAAACCTATTTGCATCCAATGCAATTCTTGCCTGGTGGCAGGTCAACTTCCATCCACGTTTTGTGCTTAACCAAATTATCTATCTCTTCTTGTATAGCTTTCCTCCATTCGCTGGAGTGCGACAAGGCAAGTGCTTCATCGAGATTCTTAGGTTCAATTATTTCTGTAAAATTGACTTCTACATTTTCCTTCTGTTTGACCTTGCATCCGTAAGGATTCGGTGGAGGCCTCTTTCTTAGCCGTCCAACGCCTCTTTTTCCTGCTACACTTTGGTGAGGCTCTCCCACTATCTTCTTATCTTCTTTATCTGGATCTTCCGTGTTTACCGGATCTACATGTGGGAACTCACCCTTTTCTATTTGGTCTGTTTCCGTCTGGGATGGCCACCCTTCATTTGACTCTTCTTCTTCGATTTCAGACCTGCAACTTTCAGTATTTGTATTAAATTTCAGGCTTGGTATTTCTGTTTACACCTCTTGCCATAGATACAGTCATAACCGATTTTATTCTCGTCAAATCGTACGTGCTTTGTAAAAATAATATCTTGATTGTTTGGGTTCCACAGTCTGTAACCCCTAATTTGACCCGCATATCCGACAAATATACATTCTTGGGCTTTCGCGTCCAACTTCTTCCTTCCTTGAGTAATTAGATAGGCATACGCTAGGCAACCGAAAACCTTCAAATGTTTCACGCTCGGTGCCCGCCCTATCCAAATTCCTTCAGGGACTCCATCTTTCACGTTTGTATGCACTACTCTATTTCTAACATACGCGGCAGTGTTTACAGCTTCTCCCCAAAATTTCGGAGGAAGCTTCGCGGACATCAACATCGATCTAGCCAAATCCATCAGCATGCGATTTGCCCGCTCAGCTACGCCGTTCATCTGCGGAGTCTCGACACAGCTCCTTTCGTGCTTAATTCCGAGCTCTTCAAAGAAATTTCTTAACTCTTTGTTGCAATATTCAAGTCCGTTGTCCGTACGGAAGCGTTTAACTTTAGCATCTTTTTCACGCTCGACCCTTTTGATAAATCGTTTAATACAGTCGACGACTTCACTCTTTGATTTCAGGAAACACACCTCTATTTTTCGCGAATAATCATCTATTAGCGTCATAAAATATACAGAGCCGCCTCTAAACTTAACCGGGAATGGCCCGCACACATCCGAGTGTATTAATTCTAAAATTTTAGTTGACTGCTTACTTTGCAGCCTTTTGCACGGTGCTTTACTGGATTTTCCTGCGCAACAACCTGGCGACTCCAATTTAGCGTCTTCAAGGCCTCGAACGAAGTCCTTTTTAGCAAGTGCTTGGATACTTTGGCTACTCACATGGCCAAATCTTTTATGCCAGACATCCAGATTGTGCACGACCGTAGAGTGCAACTTGATTACTCTGTTGTTTTCTGGATTTACCACATCGGCGCGCATGACGAAAAGGGTTTTCATCCTATGCGATTCGATAATCACGTTTCTAGATTCCTTGTCCTTTATTCTCACTTTGGCATTATCGAAAACAATACATTTGCCTTTCTTTTCTACTTGGGCAACTGATATCAAGTTTCTTCTACACCTAGGAACATAATATACATCTTCTAAAACTATTTCACAAGTGTAGTTTCACAAGATTTCAAGACCACGTCGCTGATTCCCTCAGCCATCAGCGTATTTTCGCTATTATCTGTGCTTGAGTCCGTTGTATCAACCTAATCTAAAGTGCTTCTAAAGTTCCTAAATCAGCTCTTATGCCTGCACACATGGTGCGTTGTAGCACTGTCTGCAAGCCAGGCATCATTTGCAGTCACATGTTGTAGAGACATCAAACATGCATATGAATTCTTCTTATTGCTCCTGAACTCCTTTTTCTGTGTCTTGTCTCTACTGCGACAGTATTGTGCAAAGTGGCCTGCCCTGCCACACTTAAAACAAGTTTTCTGCTTGTCTGGTACTTGTTTGTCTAGCACTTGCTTGTTACCCTTCTTTACTTGATACGCAACCACCTCCTGTGTTTGTTCTTGATTCTCATTTTTATCCAAACGTCATTCCATCAACAGAGCCTTCTTTATTTCCACTGAAGTAAACTTTGTATCATCTAAATTGGCTAATGACATTGTTAATGCATCATATGAATCTGGAAGTCCACCGAGCATTGTGTAGGCTAGGTCTTCATCCTTGACCTCTGAACCTGCTGCATTCAAGTAGTCACAAGTCACTTTCATTCTGAAGAGGTACGATGTCATAGTCTCATTTTCTTTAAGTCGTACCTGAACGAATTGTCTTCTCAATTGCATAATTCTTTGTCTTGATTTTGGCTCATATACCTGTTCCAGCACCTTCCAAGCATCCATGGCTGTTTCACAATCCACAATATGTACTTGTTGATCTGAGCTATTGTGGGAAAAGCCTTTGGGCTATTTGTGAGAAAAGTTTGCCTTCCTACGACTGTGGCGTCTTCCGGCAGCTTTGCGGTTCCATCGACGTAACGCCACAATTCTCTTTGTATTAACAGCATTTTTATGGAAGACTTTCAGGTTCTGTAATTCTCGCCATTCAGTCTGTCTATTTTGTCTATCACGTTTGCACTGGTCATTGTAACACTACTTTTCTAGAAAAATCACTTACTACGCAGTTAGCGTGCCCAATGTAGCGCGACGAAAAAACACCCTGGGCCCATAACCTTGATAAAGTTTTTATTTATATATATTTTAATATAATAATGAAAAAAAAGGATAAATGCATATAAGAATTGTAATACATAACTCATAATATAAAACCGTCACTACCTTTTCTCTACCGGCACAACATGACGTATCTAGAAAAACAATGGGTAAGTAGCCCTATAAACGGGCCCAGCATAGGTTACAATAGGCGACGCTAGTCGGCGCCCCGCGAAATTCAAAAAAAAAACAAAGGCGCGCAATTATAAATGAAGAAGGCTGGGGCGCAACATCCACCATTATTTTAAAAAACGAAGACCTCTTGAGCGTCTCCCCATGGTCCGCAGTTCGAGGGTTAAGAAATACATTATACTTCTTACCTTTTTAGGAAAGGGGTCGGGCAACCCTTTATTGTCAATAACTGTATATATTGCCCTATAACGTTTAAGAATTTTTTTCATTTTTTAAAAGATCCTACATTGAATTATAATGGCCACCGTTTGCACATCCCCTATTTTGTAAGTGACCGCTATCTACAAATGAGACTACAACAAAACGATATTTTTGTACCATAAACAAGGTTTCTTGCAATATCTTGTATACTTAAAAAAAGAAAGAAATTCCTCAAAATCATCTATGTTTCAAGCGATTTGATAAGAAAGACCTCTTAAAATTAAGAAACTTAAGAGAATAAAAGAAATCCCTAATTAACCCACCGTTATTTGTTTCAGGACTATCTTCAGGGTTGCCTGGAGCAGATCGAAGAGATGGTCTCGGAAGCGGTGGGAGCGGATGGCAGCGGAAACAGCCACCAAGTATCCGGCATGTCGATCTCGGTGCCGCAGAAACCTCTGGGGGACGACATGACCAGCCAGGAGAAGATCCTGGAACACGAGAAGGCGGGCACTCCGACCGACGTGAGGGACGTCCATTTTTGAGAGACGCCGCTGAGGGAAACTCTGGCCAGGGTGACTCTCTGCTAATGGAGACCGAAGAGCCAGCGTTAGCCAGCAGCGACGAGGACGCTGACGGACCTACGGCGAACAAACGATTCAAGAAAAACGAAGAGGATACATCGAATCGAGCGGACGTTACAGAAGACTCTTGAAAGAGATAACCGATTGAATTGTGCTCGTAAACCGATTGTTCATCTTCGTTCGAATAAAGAAAATGGTCACCAGAAGAGAGTTATCCTGGCGAAGCCCTCACCGGAATGCGTTCTCGATTGTCAACGGGATGTTATGAACATTTTTGTTACACCGATCGGTGATCATCGAGTCGGAAGACTCTTAAGCCAAGGGACCCCTAATGCGATTATCTTTTTAGTCTCGAGATCTACGAATTGTGTACGTAGTTTTTTAAACCGGGAAGCGAACGACTGCTGAAACTGATCCGGAACAATTTTGCTTCCCGCGTGCGAGAAATCAGTTGTTTTTACACGTGGAACGGTCGGACGGCGTAAACGAGTTATTTTGTTATTTAGTTGTTACGCGTTTTTATTCGAAAGATGCGGCCGATCCTCGCGGTCGGTATCGGTTTTTTTTTTTTTTTTGTTCTCTTCAGAGACACGCGTTGTCTCGAATCACGATCTTATAGTTTACACAGACTTCTTTTTGTCATGTTCGTTTCGAATATAGAGATGCGCGAAGGGAGAGTGCGAAACTTGTTGAATTTTCTTCGTTCGAGCGTTGATCGACCCTCTGTTTCTTTGTAATTAATTCGAGATTTCTCGGAGAGAATTCAAAACTGACAGGGTGAGACCTGATGAACTCAGGTTAATTTAACTCTCCGAGCGATTGCGATTCGCTTTGCGATTGAAATTACAGAGGGTCGATGATTGATCGGTGATTTATTGTAAAAATGAACAAGTGAAATTTCGCGAAGAGATACAAAAAGGAAGTTGGTCAAAATCTAAGGTCAAACTTGAAACAAAAAAAATTGAATAGTATAAAAAAGAATGATGGGATGAATTGTAAATGATTGTAAATCGTTTCGAAAATGCGTCTCTTTAAGGAGAACCCTGTGCACGTGAAAATCGCGAATGATTTTCTTTATTGCACGAAGTTCAGCGACCACGAGATGAAGAACGAAGAACGAAGATATATCAGCAAGACGGGGAATTAGCTGAAGAGACCGGAAGGCGGCGTGCTGTTGGGGGAAGGCAATGCAATACGCTTTACGCATCTATTTCGTAATAGAATTATACACTTAATTTTTAGCCGGACGACGAACCACACCAGAGAATGTTATAACGTGAATTTAAAATTAAAAAAAAAAAGGAAGAAGAAGAAGAGTGGAAGAGGAACACGCGGATTATAACTCCTCTGTGAGACTAAACAAGATAGGGATATATTAATGAGAGAATCGGGAAAGAAAGGGAAGAAATGCACATAGTCATGTCGAGTCACTTAGTGTTTTGTACATAGGTATACATAGGAAGAAAATGAGTATATATATATATATACATATATATATGGTACACGAAATGTGTGTCTGTGTGTGAGCGTGTGAGTGCGTGTGTGAGGGAGAGACACATGGTGTAGAGAAGAAAAGTGCGGATTAAGATTGGGTGTGAATTAAGACTAGTTTATATTACACGTTCAGACACTGGATTGTATTTTTATTTCTACTATTTTCCAATCATTCTATGATATTATTTTTAATTAGATAAGTGTGTAGAAGAATTCCTAAAAAAGTAGACTCTCGTTATATTGCCATGTAGGGGATTGTAGAAATGAAAAATTTGTAAAGCTTCCAAGCTCTCATTTTGAGGGGGAGAAGAGGTTGAAGCAGGGCTGTAGAAAATGAAAAGTTATCAAACTTCTAAACTCTTATTGAGAGGAAGAAGAGAGATAGAAGTATATAATTTTCATAGATTATTAAAAATTATATTATGATTGAAAATCCCTGTGGAAGTCAAATTACTCACATGGCAATATAACGAGAGTCTACTGTAACATATATAATAATTTCCTATGGAAATTTAAATGTCACGCAAATATTCATAGACACCTGTTGAAGGTAATGGAATGCAAAGTTTCATACAATTTTATAGAAAACTATAAGTCCATGTCTGAACCTATAATATAAATCTATCTTTATTATTGCGTACACGTATGCATGTGTAATAGAAACGGTGTTTTAGATCGATAGAATGTAGTTCCCTTTTTTGTATTTACGCTATGTTAATTGTTTATCCAAATGAGTTATCCCGAGGGCTGTGGCGCGACCCGTAGCGTACTCCATTCGGTTCCTAAGATCGGTTGTGCCAGCCCACAATGCGCGACTAAACGCGACGTGTGGATGTGTGGATGTGTGGGTATGTGTACGCTCTTGTGTGTCAGTTTTATCGTCTTGTGAAAACGGGGAAGAAGGATACTGTAAAGAGTTGGTTTTGAAATTACCAATCAATTGATACTGTTGAATAGGAACATTATGTTCTTCCTTTAAATTCAATTTTATTCTTTAAATAGAAATCAATGCTTGTTTCATAAGAACAGTTTTCGATCACTTCTGTTAAAATATTTATTACTGAAACATGATTTTATTGTTTAATTAGTTTTTTTTTTTAATAGTATTTATTTCATCTTTGTATGATTAATATTTTGATTGCCATGGTGGAATAATTATTAACATAAAAAAATAAGGTAAACTTTAACCCTTGAACAACAAACTTACAAAGCACATGTAAATGTTTAATTATTAAACAAAATAGTTTCATTTTTAAAAGAGCTGAAAAAATATGGAATACAAAATTAAATTTAAATTGAGGCTCTCTCCATGGTCCGTCGTCCAAGGGTTAAATAATTCTAGGATTATACCAATAATGCAAGGTACCAATTTAAAGTATATATTTGAAAATTAACCAACAATATCCTTAATAATCACATTCTTAATATGTCTGACTACATATTATGACCTTTTCTACTGTTGCAGTCAATGTATTAAACTTCTCTACCATTTTTAACATTCAAAATTATTTTCAAAGCCTGAATTTCTTATTCAAACCTGTTCTTATTAAAACAAACTTCTATTTCCATTTGAACAAATTTTTCTAAAATCGGTATTTAAAGCAAATTGCAGAAATTCTACTGTTTGATCATCAAATAGTTTGATAAAATTTCTGTACTAAATTGATTAATCAAAAAACCTAATGAATCAATTATTTCTTAAAAACCAATTTTTTACAAGGGCTCTTTTTCCCCAATATTCGCGGCTGTACATATGTAGGTAAGCTATACGAGGCGTATGATCAAGAGTAATCCACGTAGTCCGTGTAAGATAATGCGACGATTAAGGTGGCAGATAAAGAAAATCGAGAACCGAGAGATAAAGAACGTAACAAGGGAGCTTAATCGCGAAACAAAAGCGGACGTTTTCGAGAAATAAAATACAACTTCTTCGGTGCTGTGATTGATGTATCGTTCAGGCGTATTTCTACTACTTTCAGAGCTCCTTTAAAACATTTGTATTTAAAAAAGAAAAAAAATCATTCACGTTCTAAAATTGCTCTATTCGCACACAGTTACTCGGGTTTATTTATGTTAATTTTAATCGCGAATTACGATGAGTTTTACGATGTAAGAGCCGCTCGACGGAGAGTCGAGGACTAATAGTACAAAGTCGAAATACATAACGTAATTAGGCCAAAGTAGTTTGAATAAATACACGAATATAATTTCGTGAAAATTAATTACATTCGATGAATGTTCAAACACTGCCCGAATAAAAAAAGGAAGAAACTCGAAGTTGAGAAAAATAATCCGAGTATGAGGATCGAAATAAAAAAAGTTTCATCAAATCTTTATTCATCTAATCCTTTTCGCAAACAGTCTTTGAAAGAAGTTTCTAACCCAAAGTCACAAAAAGTTACGCCAAAAATCAAGCCTCCAGCACCGAGAGAGTTTCCGCCTCCACTGCTATCGTTCGATCAGTTTATACTACTGCATTTATATAATCGTACCTATAAATCCTGACAGTGAAACATTTAACCGTATATCCGTCTGTCTAGATCGAAAAATAATTATACAGTAGATTAATATCCATATAACAAAAATATGAAAGGAGACAGTCATCGAACGACAGAGGTCGAGGCAACGTCCAAGCATCATCCAAAAGAAAATATATATATTAACTCAATAGTACTTAAAAAAAACGTCGATAGTGCGTGAGAGAGAGAGAGAGAGAGAGAGAGAGAGTGAAAGAGAGGACGAAATTCGGAAAACACGTGTTTTGATCTTTTTTTCGATTTTTTTGGAAAAAGATAACCGTGTGTTTCGTCCGATCGAAACCGCATTCCGATTAACAAATGGGAGATGTCCCAGTGCCACAAAGCGAACTAGTTTAGTAGCATACTCTTCAGTAACCAAATCTTAGTACAACGTAGCAGATCGAGTAATATAAACATACGATAATGCCGGCTGGTACGCGTGGCTGACCATTCACTTACTTCTACCACTAGCAGTAGTAGTAGCCGTTCTTCAGTAGGTCCTACGTGCACGCACCTGCGTATTTCTTTTAATTTTGCATCGTTTTCTAGACACCCGTGGTGTGGTCAGGCTTCCCCAGAGAAAATGGAATTTGATAGAAGATATTTTGAGTTTTTTTTTTCCATGCAATACTTCCACGGTTATTGTTGCCAGTTTCTGCTTTCAAGAGAAATTGAAAATCTACTTCTTTTGATTCATGTTTTCTTATTTTTTATTGATACTTTGAATGTTGTGGAAGATTAACGAAGGGTTGATTGCAAGAACCGGGTAGCTACATTTTTTATAGGAATTGAAATTTTATTATATGTTTGAGAAACAATTTTTTAAACAATTTGTTTAGTTCTTGTAAAATTAATAAAAATGGAGATGTCTGGTTCTGACAACCAACCCCTTCAATTGCACCTGATATGAGTTTAATATAATTGAATAATTTTTCAATTTTAACCCTCAATTGATATGTAAAACAACATTGCAAAGAACAATTCTGATGGAATATTTGAACCTTTTCAATTTATATGGTAAAACAAAATTAATTAGTTCCGATGGAATATATTTGGAGTTTTTAAATTTACATTATTCAAAATAATTTTTTTCTTAATTATTCAATTATATTTCATTTGTGATCACCACATGCCATTCAATGTGTTAAGAGACAATGAGAATTTTAATAGAGAATTCAAGGAATTTATTTGAGATTTTATATATACTTGTTTGCGTTTTTTTATTTAGATTTATGTTTGCACTTCTTTCTTCATTTTGAAAGATCTTGATTCTTTTTCTATTTATTTATTTGAACAGGCATTTTTGATACAAGTTTCTTATCTATTCATTTTATATTTCTATCTTTGTTTCAGAGCCTTATTAATTATTCACAGTTGTACGTTTAGATTCACTTTTTCAGTCTTCATTAATTAATAGACATATTTCGAAATAGGGTTGAACAAAAGAAAACAGACTATCGAATTTCTCTATTTTAAAGAGTGGAAATGTCATTTGGTAGAAGGAACTCGATGGGGAGCCTAGACTTGCAAACCTGTTCCTAATCATTATTCCGCCTCGGTTTTTAGCTTTATAAGAGCACCACGAGCTTGCGACACACCCTTGTAAACTTGCGAACAAAAAGAAGTTGTAATCAACGTCACAGCGATCCTTTAGTTATTACAGAACACACGCGTTTTACACACTTTTTTCCCTGTTCGATGCAAGCATACTTGAATTTTTTCGACACGAAATTTTATATAAAATCAACCCTGAAATTAAATTCGTGTCGAAAGAGTTGAAGTTAATTCACTGCCAGAAATCCACACAAAATGCACCTATGTTTTTTTTTTAAAGCTCGCATTGATTTGTTATTGTTGTTGTTATTGTACCAGTCGTTTGTTCCCCAGATTAGTTGGATGCAAAGCAGCGCAATAGAAATACCACTGATATACCTCAGGCACCGCGTACACCGCTCGGAAACAGCATGCGTAGTTTTTAAAGCGAAAAAAAGAAGAAAAAATATGAAAGGGTTGATGATGATGATGATGATGATGATGATGAACGAAAATGATGGAAGCAACCACACTTATATGCGTTACTTTTTAAACCTAGCACGTAAAATGCATCATTTTTAATCGGTAGATGCGCGAAACGTTTGTACCGAGGAACGGTACGGCGAATCTTTGTACATATCCCGTGCGTGGTGCGACGCACACTCGATTGAAAAATAAAGTATTGGTATTTTATACAGTCACATATCATGTTTCCTTATTTCCTATATTTTAGATAATTAAGTCTTTCTGCTATGACTTTTTCGATAGTTGCGTCAGTCAGAATCTTAAAACAGATAAAGAAAATTGAAATATATATAACACATTAAAGATTCGATAAAAGCGAAAAAAATCAATACGATGAAAGCGAAAAACTCATTCCTCACCATTGGGGGAACTGCCGCATTCGTATTGGACGTGCATAGTGTGATGTAGGTGAAAAGGAATATGCCTTTACCAACAGTGAGTATCGTGCCGACCTACGGAATCTTCTTTATCATCTCACCCCACACATATGTGCAGATTTTAAGGTATTTTAATTTTAATTTTTTCTATTTATTTTCTTTTAAATTATTAAGAACTGAACTTTTTATATCACCAACTTTATAATAAATTTTTATTTCTATTTCTGATCGGCCTAATTTTTGATGAAACGTTGACTGTTTTACCGACGCGGAATTCGGAGTTCGGCCTCGACGCTCGCATCACCGAAGAGATAATAATAGCATCGACCAGATAATGTATCATCTCATATCTCATATGGCGTCGGTGATGGCAGTCTTTAACAGTATTTCGTCGGTGATTCAGTTCAGCACCGACACTCGTCGTTGGTAAATTCACTGATTCAAGTTCTGTTTCTTACTGCGGCCGCAATATCTTCTAGAGGGCGTAAGAAAACGTCGAATTTTTCCGAAGCCGCAATCTCCCAAGAGAACGGCAGTCTATAACAATCTCTCGTCGGTGGCCACATCTAGTCTTGTAGATCTATAGTCACTGTCTTGTATCTGTAGTCATTGCTACCCCCTTAAGGGGGTAAACACGGGTAATGCAGCGAGGTGACATTACCGGCAAAAATGGGCTTAAACAGGGGTTTACGGGATTACACTTTTCGTCCTTATATGAGAACATTTGGGGCTCAGTGAGGGCTTATTCGAAAGAGGAAGGTCCAATGCACACCGCTGCACTCATGTTTTAGTAGGATTATGTTGATATTTAGTAATATAAGCGTCCAAAGTGGAGGAAAAAATCGACAAAATGTAGTTGCGGAATCGAAGCATTTTTAGGCCACTAAAAGATTACTGTGATTGAAATCATGAGTGCAGCGGTCTAGCCACAACCTGTCCGATTGCACGTTCCTTCGGTTCTTCAGAGTAGGCATATATTTTTCAGCAGCGAGGAATGCTACGGTGCGCTATATAAAATCCACGCATTTGGTCAGTCAAAATTTACCGGACCGGGACAATTTTATCATTTAGATTGAAAGAAGGATAGCATGATCACCCTACATCTCACTCTAACCACGCGCCAATGTTTCGCTTTCGTTCTTCAGGCGTATCGTCGCGATGCCTCTGGCGAGACGAGCGTTTGAATGTGTTTGTAAAAATACTTGAGGCGCTGTTGCCTTCCTAGATCGTGTTGCGCGCACGCTAGCTGAGAATTAAACCTTTCAAGTTCGTACCAGACCACGCAAGTGGTTCCACCAGGCCCAACGAAAAAACTGCTGTAATACCGACGTCCCAAATCAGAGAGGTCACGTGCCGTGTCTACCCCGTTAACAGCGGTACCACTGACGAAAGTCTGTCTGTCATCGGTGGCGACGCCCGATGAACCGTGACGTTCCGCCTCGCTGCTGTGACTGACTTATTAAACATTTATTTAATTATAATTCTTTATTTTGCACTTTTTTATTAACTAAATTATTGTTGTGACTATTGAAATTTATTATTTTAATTACCTTTACGCGGGAATATTTTGTATCATTTTGTTAAACTACTATTATTACAATTTATTTGGTTACAATTTTTATATTACAATAATTTATCAACTAAATTATTAATACATCTGTTAAGATTTATTACTTTTATAATTTTTAGACGTAAATGTTCTACAAATTGAATTTCCGGGTTTGGGATCATTCCTTGTTAGAATTGCATGTGAAACTGATAAGTCAAACAAATATTTATAACGATAAATATGAGGACATTTATTAAGTAGTTTTAAATGTATTAACATTTACACAAATGGTTTATCGGTTAGAAAAATAGAATTAACTTAATTAATTAATACTATGCTCTTTGCGTCTGCAATATGTCAGAATTTTTGCAAAATTTTCGGATGCTACTAATTACAAAAAATAGGACAGAAACTGGAATTTCGATTCTTTCTCCTTTACTACTCCCTTAGTTAAGATAAAAGGTTGAAAATTGGTGTACATACAGTGTTCTCTTTGGATATTCTATTGAATGACGCATTATGAGTGTAACTTAGTTCAAGAACATTTTTGATCACTTTATCCGGTATACTCTCTGGAATTTTACAGTTGTGTCATTGTTCTTCTGGAGCGGCGATACAACTGTAGCTGAAATGGTGGATCTATTATGCTACCACCAATCAAACTCGCGTTTCTATCACTAGCTAATCCATGTACAGTATTTTATGCAATACATTGAAACAGAACCTTAAAACAAAACAAGTGTGTTGTTCTGAATACTTGAAGTTACGGCCTCGTTATGTTACGGTAGCGACCTGCTTGATATTTCAAGTCGATAATGTAAATTGAGAAAAATTCCATCGATTCGGTGAGTCAATAGTACTAATTTTCATGCAAAAAGCATCGGTTCTCAAAGCTTTAAAATAGTAATAGTGCATTTCCTTCGTGAATATCGCCTTAAAAAATAAACTTTTTGGACTACCTCCTTCTACTTCAGGGTTTCTTTTGGTAATTGCACTAGTTTTGTGCTAAAGCATTTATTTATTTTTTTACTTCCTGTCTGTTAACTCTGTGAAGGCAATCTGGATCGTTATCGGTATAAGGGAAATTTGACTTTTCTTGAAATTTGTACTTTTATTGAAAAAAGTTTTAAAGATTTGATGTGCACATCCTCGGTTAGGTAAAGTTAGTAATTTACAATCCACTGAAGAACGCTGGTGTCGCTTCCACCGGTGGAAATCAATCGTGTGTCGTCTTGGAGGAACGATACATTTGTAACGTGACTGGAGTGGCCACCGTACGTATGACACAACGACTGAAACAAACAAATTCATTTATTTTTATCACTCACTATGCATTGCCAACGAATGTACAGGGTGTCCCAGGCTCGGAATTAACTGCTCTTTTCAGCAAGTTTTCAGGGGCTGTGCCCCGTTTCTCACGTCGCTCGCTGTGTCCGCGCGAGGGCCTTACAAGGGGAACTACCCAAGTGTTACACTCACTTATTAATGAAACTTTGCCAGCTTGTAGAGCTCGTCGAGCTGAACACGCCTATACCCCGTTTTGTGGGCAGACGACTAATTGTTTAAAAGATATTAATAATTAAAGTTAGTTACTACTTACATTGAGAAGTATGACAGACTCACACATACAACTCGCAATCTAGAGATCCACGGTTCAAATCCTTGATTCCCAACATTTTTTTTTTTTTTTAATGATAACTTGTCTCTTTTTGAATAACTATTACATAAAAATTATCATAAAAAAGAAAATTTTTTTGTGAACCAAAGATTTGAACCGAGATCCTCCAAATTGTAAGTCACGATTCTGCTCCGTGGTTAAACACATGACTCGTAATCTAAAGGTCCTCGGTTCAATTCCTGGGTTATCGTTTTTTCTTTTTTTTTTTATAATGATAATTTTTATGTAATAGTTATTCAAAAAGAGAGAAATTATCATTAAAAAAAAAAAAAAATGTTGGGAACGAAGGATTTGAACCGTGGATCTCTACATTGCGAATTGTATGTGTGAGTTTGTCATACTTCAGAATGTAAGGAGTAACTAACTGTAATTGTTAATATCTTTTAAACAATTAGCCGTCTGCCCACAAAACGGAGTATAGACGTGTTCAGCTCGACGAGCTCTACAAGCTGGCGATGTTTCATTAATAAGTGAGTGTAACACTTGAGTAGTTCTCCTTGTTAGTCTTCGAGGCACCCCAGGTGGGTGCCGTATAAACTTTTCAGGGCGCATTGGGGCTACACTCGTATCAATAGGTTTTCACATCACCCATGTGGTACGATTCATACGACACGCGCCTGAAGTGCTTCGAGGACTAAGGTCCTCGCGCGGGGCACGGCCAGCGGCGGGAGGGAAAGGGCGTAGCCTTTGAAAACTGGCCAAAAAGAACAGTTAATTCCGAGCCCTGCCTTGGAGGGATGATTGCTGGAGTGATTCTGAACAACTTTTTCCTTCGGCAAAATCTCGGTTAAGGCTTCATTTTTTAATTATTAACGAAAAACACTGTCCAATTAGAGCGCGGGATGAACTGTCATTATTAAATGGTAATCATGAAATGTTAAATTACTCGCTCATAATTAATATTTCCTTTGTTGTTTGAAAATACTATTGTGTAAATTACCTTCGGTTGACAAGCAGGATAAGAGAACAGCTTGACCTTTCCGAAATCATCTCCAGTTGCCAGCAATTTTGAATCGTTGCTACGAGTGCAATTGTTCACGTCTGTGCCATCTGCACCTTCGGGCCATATTCCAATAGTTTCGAAGGATATAACACAAGTATGAGTTGCCCAGTCTACGTCCCTCATGATAGATGATTGAGGTATTTGACGACAAACTCCAGGATTCCCTGTGTAACAACAAGATATTGTAACACACAAACTCATCAACAAAAATATGGCATAAGCATTTATAACTACATTTTATGACACAAGTTAAGAAAGACGATTTCAATTGATATAATTTTCTACTTGCAGTCTGATGGATATGTTATGAATTGTTTTATGACAATATAAAGATCTGACGTAAGTAATATCTTTGCTTTTGTTAATGTTTAAAAATACAAACCACTGACTCTTTAATTTTTCTACAGGGTGATCCTCTCGCTAGTGGACTCAAAGGAAGTGCCGCCACAATAGCATAAAGTGGCCCTAGTCCTTTTTCTGTCATCGATACCTTTTCACGGACACCACTACAGTATGCACCCCCGTCAAGAAAAGGGCTTGAGTCCATTCATACTGGTGTGGCGGCACTTCCTTTGAGTCCACTAGCGAGAGGATTCATGCATTAACCCAAACCTGTCTAACCTGCGGCGCGCGGGTTATAACGCATTGTGACATAAAACAGAAGAAACGCGATCGCGCCACGTGGCATTTTTCGACCGGATTTTTGCTAAAACCCGTGGCACTCAAACGGTTAAAATATTTCAGGACTTAAAAAATTATTGCTTTTACTGCTTTTTCATTGATGGGTACTAACAATAAGTACCCTTAACATCCCTATTCCTATAAATAACTATTATAGATTTATATTCTAATTTAACAAAGTGTGCAGTCAATCACTGCTTTTACTTACAAAAATCATTTATAAGACGGAATTATATTTTGCAAAATATTAAGTACAGCACAACTTAAGAAGAACAAAATGAGATTACTTATAGACACCTTTTAGTAGATATTTAAAACAATCTATTTTATATCTTTATCAAAAGATAAATACATATTTTAAGTTAGTACATAATATGTACCCTTCTTTGAATAAAATATAACTAAACATTAACGAAACTCATATTGTTTAATTACAGTTATTAAAGGTGTTTAATTTCATTTTGCGATTCAAATTTTTCTAAGCTATTAATTTACTAAAATCCCTTAATTTACGTACAATACAGTAGCTCGTAGTCTCCGCTATTGCTACGTAAATATTGTCCATCCACTGACCAGTCCAGATGAGTTATAAAACTGGAATGTCCCTGAAATAAATAGTTTCCATTAGATCGACAAAAAGTATTCTGTCCTAACTTTTGCGACGCTTCTTTAAACTATAAACATCTTTTTATATTTACTAAAATTAAAAGTTATGTTAGTAGTTTCCTTTGAAGCGGTATAGAATCAAACAAACCCAAAACCGTTACGACAAAGACAATGTCAATATTTTGTGCAAATAATGAGTGCGGTGCATGATTGAGGTAAGCAGTCTGTAAGCAAATATTGTTACTCCTACGTGACAATCATACTACTTCTAGAGACATTATATTTCTAACTATACATACTTTATAAAGATTTTTATTGATATATTACAAATTATACGTTTACAATATTTTTTACCTAATAATATATTATGTAATATAATGTCTCCTTTTCAATTTTATGTAATTAAACCTATGTCTTACTCCACGCCTGCACATCCGCTTTGGCTAAAAATGAAGAAGAAAATGTCTGAAGTTTGTGATTTTATTACAAATTCTTACTATTATTTTACTAATAATTGTATAATCGTTTCTATACATTAACTCGCATAATAAAATAAAAAATAATAAATATTTGATGTTTAATAAATTTGAAAAGTTCTATGTACAAATATGATGATTACAGATTGTACGACATAATTATAAACTACTTTACAATACACACAAGCAAGTTGTACAGCGTACTGAACAATACTGATACCAATATAACAAATATAAACAGTATTAGCGTTTTATAAATTATTCTTTTGGGTGATCTTGTAGAAAATCACGATGATTTTTGAATATGTTGTAAAATTCAATATTTTCAACAATTCTTTTCCTCCCACCTATATATCGGACTTGCTTAGTGTCGGAGATATTCGCGATAAACTGTGTGTATGTACAGTAAAGTTTCGATAAAAGCGAAATTCGGGACCGAATTTTCACTTATATCGTGCAGTTCCTATATTGTTAGAAGTTTGCCGACAGCTTCGAACGTAGAAAAGGACAGCGAGTGAAAGAAAAATAAAAAATAACAAAGTTTTATCGTTGCAATAGTATTACTCCACTGATAAATCCGATCCCAGACCATTGTGACGGGTTACCGCCGGGGGTTTGCCGGCCCAGCCGGTAAGTCCGGGGTTCAGGCGAACGAACGAATAAGTCAGTTGGATATGAGCGAGAATAATAGATTTATTTAACTCTACTTATTACAGTCTTGATCCGTAATAAGCAACAGTTTTCCGGCTCGAAATAAGCAAATCTCTATCCCCTCTTCTTTGTTTGAAGTCGCCCGCAAAGTGAGAAGTCCGTGAAAGCGAGAAGCCGATGTTTTGGGTAATAAATTGTCACGCTCGACTGAGCAGTGACATCGGTTAATAGAAGAAGGATGGAATATATATACAGTAAAACCTAGATAAATTCAACCAAGATTGGGACCCAGTGGTTGCGTTTACCTAAGCACGGTATCGAAGCTCGGATGACACGCGACGACCAGCTAAGCGTGAACGTAGAAAGGGACAGACAATGGTGGAAAGAGAGAGGTCCGAAATCAAAGGAAAGAGCCGAAACGTATCGGTGTGACTAATACTAATTGAATCAAAAAACTTTTTTATTTTTGACTTTTTTTGAGTGAAACTTTTACTAGCGCATTGGTGAGATTTTTGTGAGTAAAGTGGTACCAAACACGATATAGTTTCAATTATAATTACTTGCTAAAATTGATGTTATAAGTTGGCGAAAAGCAAGAGAGATCGAAATCCAAACCAGTCGCGGTGTCGGCTTTGGTTTCAAAGGTTTCATTTATCCTAGCGAGGAGTCGATTCTGGGCATTTAATGTTTCATTTATTCAAGCAAGGAGTCGATTCCGGGCATTTAATGTTTCATTTATTCAAGCAAGGAGTCGATTCTGGGCATTTAATGTTTCATTTATCCAAGCGAGGTGTCGATTCTGAATCCGTACACATGTTTTCTTTGTAGCCAACATGCCGATTCTGTGTCCGTACATATCTTTTGTATTCAGCCGACATCATTTATATTCAGTCGTGGTCTCAATTCTATGTTGCTTATTCTATTATTATTGTTTATAAATATAATTCAACCTATATCGAGTTTGGTATCATTTTAATCAGAAAAATCTCACAAATGCATTAGTAACAGTTTCATTGAGAAAAAGTTAAAAATAAAAAAGTTTTATCGTTGAATTAGTATTAGTCACACGGATATTACGGTCGGATCATATTACACGGTTTCCTCGTCGAGCGGCTCGGTTCGCCTAGGGGGATCCCCCCAAGTGGAGGGGATAGCGATGTTTCATTTATCCAAGCATTCTTTCGTTGAATTTATCCAGGTTTTACTGTAATGCTTCCTCAGTCTGGTATATTTGTCTCGAAATAAGCGAAATATTGCGAGAATGAGAGGGCATGCTATATCTATCCTTGTTTAAAAAATAACATCCTTGCTCGGCCGATCACTTTATGATTTGCCGCTACTTCGGATCTCTCACTCGTTTCTCGTGTTCTCTATCATCCCGTTTCGGGAACAAAGTCGAGCCGAATAGCATACCTGATCCGTAATAAGCAACTGGCCAGACCCGAGTGTGTTGCTTATTTCGAGGCAATCCTGTACAACAAGCTTAACCTACGGCCCTGGGTGTCCTATCAGTCTATAACGATTCTTAAAACCAACGGTTCGCTCGCGGTGTCGAGCGGGCGCGGCACGAATGATTGCGGTACGGCGTGGTCCGGTCGCGGTGTCGAGCGGCCACGGTACGGTTCGATCACGGTGCGGAGCAGCGGTGGCGGGGGATTCCCAGGATCGGGTGCTAGATGCCTTCATGGGCGAACGGCCGTAGACACAACCCGTCCTCGCCCAGGCAGTAAGAAGACCGTGATTCGGTGGACGTCCGTGGACACGTGTACGCCCGGTCCGGCGGTCGGAGACCGCCGAGAGAGTTCTCGGCAGTGGCCGGGGTTACAGCGGACAGTATCGCCGGACGGTCGTAAGCACAACCTGTCCTGACAAACTCTGCTGGAGGCAGAGATTTATCATAGCTGGATTTATCATACAGATCTTTTCCGCTTTTATCAAATCTTTACTGTACTACTACAGAGGACCACAAAGGTGCCGTTCGAGGCCTTGCAGCTCGTGCCAACCCCTCCTCGTGGTGTGGTTCGGACACCGGCTATTCCGGTGGCAAACAGGGTTTAGGCTATGGGCGTGAAGTGCCTGGTGGGTGTAGTTGCTAATCCACTCAGGTTAGTTTGTTAAAGTAAAAGCGTCCTAAACCAAAATTCCTTACACGCCGACAATAAGTCAAGTGGGCCTTCCGTACCCGTAGGATGATTGGCCAGCCCATGAGTGCAATGACTAACCCGGCGCCACTTGGTTGGGAGGTGGCTGCTGGGGAGTGGATTTAATAGCGCAATAGCGCCCTTTAACATCGCCGGTATAAGTGAAAACTTGGGACCGGCAGAGCGGGCTTTTAGCCCCACAAGGCTCCTTTAAACACTGATCTGCACTACTACATTAAATTGCGTCTGTACGTATACGTTCGTGACCGTGTTTACGTCGGCAAGTGACCCTCGGATATTTACCAATACTGTTTCTGTCAACAGCACCACATGATCTGGCTACCATTTATGTAACGAGTGAATTTAAAAATCAAACATGACTACAATAATTTTGAATTTTTACTTGCATGATCAGCCGCTTAACGCAGACCGAAATATTAATTTAATCTAACGTAACTTATTCTACTTCTTAGGTTGAGTATATTATAAAAATCCACATTTTGATCAACTTTTTTCTCTTATCCGTCTAGATTAGGTTAGGTTAGGTTAGGTCCGCCTAATGGCGGCCATACACTTCGAAATTATTGCAATAGGTTAAATTTGATTTTTAAATTCATTCGTTATATAGGGGATTACCGGGTCCAGTGTTGCTGTTTACAGAAATAGTAACAGACAGAAATAATAATAGACAGAATTCACTATAGTGATAACGATATTCTTTCACGAATATCTCGGAAAGTAAACGAGTCCGACGTATAAGTTAAAGGAAGAAAATTGCTTGAAATGTCGAATTAAAAAATTATCGAAATAGGAGGAGGAGCGTCTTTCCTACAAGTTCACCTTCTTTTATAATGCACAGAACGCGATAGAAGCTACAGGATGATCTTTTCGCTAGTGGACTCAAAGACAATGCCGCCACAATAGCATGAAGAGCTCTAAATTTCATTACTATTAAATTGCGTAGAAGGAATCTTCAAATATGAAATGTTAATACAAGCATTTCTACAGTACTACATATTTGATAAATATTTCTACACTCAGTTAGTTTAAATAATTTTCACATAAATGATTTTTGTCAGTACTTATGGTTTTTTTATGAGTGTAACAATTAACTTTTAATGCATAAAATAGTCTTACCATACATCGCCCAACTCGACTGTACTTGGTTGCATCTTCATTTCCTTGGTAGATATAAATGTAATTATCTCTGGAGCCAAGTGCTAATAGTGTACCATCTGGTGAAAACTGAACGACCTAAAACATATTATATGGGAATAATAATTACTGATTTATTGTGCTGTATTAAACTCCATAATATGTAACAACATTATGTTATATTTGTTTAATTTATACAAGTATCTAATGTATTTTACTGCAGTTATTTTGTAAAAATCATTACTGATGTAACTAATATATTTGAAAACGTACATGTATTTTTATATAAGTTTCCAAAATTTTGTGATCAGCTATCGTAAAGCCCGCTCTACATTCTCAGCGAAAGCCTCTTGCCAAAGTTCTCAGGCGAGAAACCACACGAGACCTATCCTCTACACTCTCATTTCACTTGTTAGTTTATTACTACATTTAGTTAAAGTGGACAACGTTGCCAGAAAATCGCTTTGACTCGGGTTAAAATTACCGCCATCGAGCCGAGAGCTGACGAGGAGAGACGAGAAAGGTCGAGGAAAGACGAGCGCATTCACTATATGTACTCTCATACTCGGCTGCTCGCGGGACATCTCGCCGAGCCGGGTGAGGCGCATGCGCCAAAGCTTTTGCTTATACTAGCTGGTGTTAGATGGCGTTGGATCACTGCGAAAGGTCACGTCCGTAGATGGTATAGACGGCGGGCGTGGAAAAACCCCTTCTTCACCATTTAACCCTTTCACACCGAACGGGACATATGATGTCCCATCAATGAAGCTTGTAACATCATTGTTGTTGTTGATGGTGCGTCGTTATGGAATTGTTTATGCGTCTCTAAGACCTTCAGCCTTTCAGGCAGAAAAGTTATTTCATCGTAATAATCACCTGGAGGAGAAATAACTGTTCTCGGTAATGGGGCGCACTCGAACTGATTTTTTTTCGCCGTGTTGAAAGGGTTAAAGATCATCAGAACGGTAGACTGTCCCTTTCGAGAAGTGGCCCACTTAGCCGTTTGGCCCGGAAATCCATGCAAGCATAGATTTAGGGGCGAAACGTTGCCTAGTGGGGACCTCGGGGAGATGGGGCCGCCAGTGTGGAACTAACATGTCGCCTCCTTTCGGGGGCTACACCTGCGACGTCAGGGTCGTCAATATCTCGCCGAGAGTATAGAGCGAGCGCGCGCCGCACGTAACAGCACAATAATTTGGTGAAAGAATGTACCTGCTTATCGCACTGAATTTCTAAACTATTCTATCCTTTTTTTTATACCTCCGTCTTCCTATTATTCATTCCGGCTTTCTCAACATGCAACGTTGCATAATACATTTTTTCTGTTTTCCGTACATTTACTTGAAGTACAAAGTATAACATTCGAAACTAGATATTGGCGTCCAAATATTTTTGTAACCAACTATACGTATGTTTTCGCTGAAATCAAAATCTTACCTGAATGGATTCTGTTCCATCGCTGTGGTGAGTATATAGTTCTCGAGTTTCACTGTCGATTGCTAACCACTTTCCGGAGGTACATCCAACTACCATCACACTACCATCTGGTGAAAATCCAATACTCTGTGCCTGTTCCTAAACATACAAAAATCTTGTTTAAATACCGTATCATAAATTTCAATAAGCCTAATTTTTTCACAATTTCGGAAAGATTAAAAGAATATGTAAATGTATTGTAATATTTGTTGTAATCATAAAGTATAGAGTAAATCAATAAGAACTGCTATGTGAAATAATTTTTTATTTATTGCTGTTCTATTTAATTTTAGTTTCATATTCTCGAAGATATGACATGTGTATAAGCTAGAGGAAAAAAGTTACTTAAAGTGTTGAATTTTACAACATATTCAAAAATCATTGAAATCTTAGGAAGGGGGCTGTTTTATAACTTCGCCAAAGAAATAACACCAATATAAAATTTCTTCATAGCTATTGAAGGTGTGAAATTACTTAAAGTGGTTTTTTGGGGCAAACAAAATTATTTAGTAAATATAAATACTAATAACTGTTTACCTTTTTACTATTTAGTTAGAGTAGTAGTGCACTTGTTTATACTAACCCCAATATCTTTGCTCCAGACAACAGTGTGACTGAGACTATCCCACATTTGCAATAGCCTATCATGGCCAGCTGTTGCAAATTGTGGTAAAGTTGGATGAGCAGCGAGGCCCCAAACTTCCTCGGCATGTCCCAACATGGCTGGATTGAAACCGATTCCTACATCACCGAGCAAAATGCAATTTCTTGTTGTACCGATCAACAATTGTGAGCCTCTGCCTTCTGCTAGTGTTCGGATTCCTCCAAAATGATCTTCAATCTAACAAATGAAACACATTGCGAAACACTATTACGAAAAAAATATAATACTTGTGATGCGAGGAAGAGATCTCGGGTAGTGGGGCATAAATCCCTACAAGTTTTATCCATGCCATCTTCTCACGGACGAACAGTACGTATACGCAGAGCCGACGTTAGGGGGCACACAGTCGGGCAATCGTCCAGGGCGTTAGATCTGTAGGGGGCGCCGCAACCCGGTGTCCCTAGTATGCGAATATACCGATATTTTCTCATTGTCTCTTCTCTCTATCTATACCGCAGTTCACCAGAGTCTATAACTGCGACGCGCAGGTTGGAAGATGGTGGGGGAACGCAGCGAGCTCTCTGCTAATCGCTTTCCACTTCGTTTGGAAGTATCGCCAATCAGGGCGAAGATGCGTACTGGAGATGCGCGAAGAACGAAAACTGGTCTTTTCGCAGTTATGGACTCTGGTAAACTGCGGTATACATCTCATATGTAATATTACATATATGCTATATATGCTGCGACATTTACATATGTCTACATCTTCCCTGACGCATTTTTTAGCTCCTGAATGGGCGCCACGATAATCTTGCCCGGGGCACCAATATTGCTAAAACCAGCCCTGCGTATACGAATATCATTACCCTGAACTAACGATACGTGGTGTTTTTTAGAACTTACCTGTGCTTCTTCTCCCGTCGAATTTAAAGAATCGTCGAAGTACAGTATTTTACCATCTTTGCCGCCGCCGGTAACGATAAAACCATCTTTCAGCACGCAAATTGAAAATATAGGGCCTTCATGGATATTCCTTACTATCTTAGACACAGTACTTGTACCTGTACGAAACATTTTCGCCGTTATAAACATATAAAGGGTTATAAATGTAATAAAAAATAGGAAGAAATATACTGCATATTATTATCATTTCTAACTACATATGTATTCAAATGGATTTGCAAACAACTATTATGCAAAAAACATGCAAAGATTTTGCATGTGTTATCTCTGCTGCTTTGGGATTTCCGTATATTTAGTTCTAGCAAGTACATTGCATTTTCTTATTATTATATTCTATTGTTTTTCTACATCGATGACATTTTTTCTATATAAATATAATGTCTAATTAAAAAATTATTCAATATTGTGTCGTGCCCCGAATAGCACTTGCGATTGCCTAAAAAATTGACCAATACAACTGACCGAGCAACTGACATCGCCCGGCTAAAGGAAAACAACAATAGTAGGTCGACTCCCGAAGAGGGAGAGGATAAAAGGCCGCGTCAAGGCAAGCCTCATTTTAATAAAGTCCATTCTTGCTGTTCTAATTCTTTAAACGACTCCCGAACCCTCAATCTCCCAAAAACAACAGTAAACACCGAGCACAACAATTGGATTTTCATTTTGGACTAATTTAACCCGGATAATGTACGAAGGTTGATTATATCTCATGAATCATATGACGCAAATAGCGATTTAAGTTTTTTCAACAATGGAGCTGACTATTTGGTATACGTACCCAAGTTTCTAGTGACGTCTGCTAAAGTAATAATGGGAACCTATTCATTTTCTTTTTTTTTTAACGGAATGGCATATTTATTTTCTCCTTTTTTATTCTAATATCTATCTCGTATCAAATTGAATAACAAAGTATAAGTTATGACAAAAAATAGTTTTCCCAAAAGAATAATTTTTATTTATAATATGTACATTTGAACGCCCTATCAATAATATTTCAGTGAAATTTGTATATCTCGAAAATAGTTCATCAAAAACTATGCTTTCTTTCGGGCTTTATTATGCCATTCAAAAATTTCTTTAAGAAATCAAAATGAAAATTTTTCTTACCTCTGCCCCAAACGATGATGTTACCATTACTATCACCAGTAAGGATATCGCCATTTTGACTGAAAGCCACGCAAGTGAAGTATCTCGGTTTTTCCCTGCTTTCCAAAATGCCCATTCGTTTGTATAAAACGTCTCCGTTATCGAGAGTCCAGAAGGACACGTGTCCCTTTCCACAGGATACAATGTGGTTCCGTTCCAGAGGATGCCACTCAGCGCATACCACCGTATCGACGGAGCACTGTTACAAATAAAGATCATTCATAAAATGATTCGGTTCCAGTTTAATACATTCAATGGTATAGCTGACAGTTGACAAAGAACATCTTGCTCATGGGCGTTCATCACTTTGCATATAATGAAACCTAGCCCTCGGATCCGATCGGAATTTATTTCGGTTGACTCGGTATTCCCAAAATTTGGGAGAACTGTGTTTCAGGATGAAATTTATTGAACATGACCGTAAATTGAAAGTGTTCACCAAAAACTGTATCTAATTCACTTTGAACTGGAGTATCAGGTACCCAAAATTTTCAGGCTCTCGTAAGTGATGCATAAATGGCACATTATAATTAAACAAAGCGGACACTATATTAATTGACTAAAGCGAATTGAAAACTCAACCTTGTTAGAAAATATACTGTGTCTTTTGGGTCTCTCATTAATAGTATATAATCTAGATATAATTTCAGTTAAAAGAAGAGGTACTTGTACAAAAAAAGCGACACTGTACCTTCGTTTCGATCACCTTGGTACCTCGCTCTCCCTTTTGCCAGTCCCAAATAGAAATGTTGTGATCTGGCGTTTCATCAATTGCACACAAGTAATTCCCACCGTCTGCTTTCGAAAACGAGAGACAGCAAATCGATCCATCGAATTCCCCGTTACCAATTACAGAAAGAGTAGTCAAGCTGACCGTATGCCATATTCTTATGTGTGGCTAAAAAACAGCAACACATTATCAACGTTAGATTAATTCTTATGTCTAATTTTTTATATTAACCCTTTCGTTTCTAAAGGCGACTAAAGTCACTCGCTGCATACTAAAGGTGACTACAGTAAAGATTCATTGAAAGCGAAACGCTAAGGACCGAACTTTCGCTTACATCGTGCAATTCGTACTATTGTTAGGTCAACGGCCTTAGCCACTTACGATTAGGCCATACCGGTACCCGTAAGATCACCGAAGTCAAGCTAAGTGGGCACGGTTTCGCCAATAGATGGGTTACCGTGTGCTGTTGGCAACTATACACACACGTACACATACACGTACACATACACGGACACACACAGGGACTAAAAATAGTATAGAGTATGGAAAAGTAAAAGTATGGAGTGATAAAATCACGGAATTAAAAGTACTGAAAATGTAAGACAAAGAAAAAATTCAAAAAATGCACGGGGTTTGGGGTCCCCATAGGCGCGTGGACGATAGGGTTCGTTGGGCAACAAGGGGGCAGAAAAGCCCCCAAAAAGCGCCGGCCCTGTAGGGCAAAATTAGTGATAGTGATAGTACTATTGTTAGAAGTATGCCGATCGCTTCGACCGTAGAACAGGACAGCGAGTGAAAGAGGGACTGGCGTTTGTGGTCGTGCATGTACTGCGGCGATTACTTTATGGCGGTGGCCATAAAGGACCCACACGAAGGTCCGGTACTGTATACCTGAAAGTCAGACAGAGCTCTAGAGAGCCGAAAAATAATTTAATATTAATATTTTTTCACTGACTAAAGTCATTCAGGCCTTTTTTTATTAATATCTTTTCACTGACTAAAGCCACTCAGGCCTTTTTTTATTAGTACTTTTTTATTAACTAATATAACCTAACTTAACCAAACCTTTTTCTATTTAATCGAAACTAAAAGAAAGCTCCCGCTGCTGATCAAACGGAGCCTAGCTGGCTCCTCAGAATGCATGCGCTACTTTCCAACCCAGGTACATACACAGTACCCGACCATCGTGCGTACCACAGTACTTATGGCCCCCGCCATAAAGTAATCGATGCAGTTCATGCACGATGCTCCTCACATACTGCCGGCTCTCTCGTTTTACATGAGCCTAATTAGTAGATATGATCGCTTCGACTAATAATACGCTAAGGCCAAAAGTATGTGTGAGTTGAGGTGAGACCGTTTCACTCTGGCCAAACAAAACTATGTTTCATTTTCTGAACTCCCTATATACATATATGTAGTATCATCGTATCTTACCATCGCATCTCGTCTATCAGTTCCGCATACTTGTCCAGTGGCTACCACTAATTTATTGGGATGAATTGCTATGCTGAAATAACATTAAAAACACAATGAAGTATGTCCAGTTTTAGAAAAGTTATACACTAGACTTTTCAAAATTTTTTTCGGGGTAACCTCCAGAATAGGTACTGTCCACCGATGACAGGAAGTCTCGCGGGACGGCACTGGGGCAAGAGTTTTAGTAACAGAGCCGGCTCTGGTTCGAATCATGTTTCATAGATCTGATCATCAAGAATAACATGCATCGTCCAGCTACACGCGTTATATGTACCAGTGTTTCCCAACGTGGGGCCCACAGGGGGGCAATTTGATTGTTAAGGGGGGCAATTCGAAAATGGACTCGTCCAGAGTTTAAGTTAACAGTATGGCGACTCGAGCTGGGTAAACGTCCATAATTACTAATAATTAAAATAATATAGAAAAATCTGTTATTAAAATTATTTCCTACTTGAATTTCGGTTCTCCATTATATGTTTTGAAAATATACTTACTGTGTTTCCTCAACAATTTTCTAGTGATTTCTTTGTGAAACCTATCATGCAAGTTTCTTCAGTGAACAATTAAATTTTTGAATATTAAAAATTATGTTTACGTTACATAGGGGGTATAAGAATTTTAGAAAGGCTTAAGTGGGGCATGGCACAAAAAAGGTTAGGAAACACTGCCTTGTTTTCAAAGAAAAATTTGTGTATGTGTTTCTATCAAAGATATAGTAGTTTTTGAACTGGACAAAGTGGTCTAACCCCTCAAGATAAATGACGTAGATCCGCATGAATTCAATTAACCTACCATTTGATATCGTCGGTATGACCCAGGTAATGTCTTTGGCTGTGTTCTTCCATATTGTACAAGACCACCACTGCTGCGACGAAATATACAATTTCTCCAGTTGGTAGAAGATGTAAATTACTTCGACAATCCCTGCCTCGGTAACCGTATACCCAGTCGAGTTTCAGTTTGCTTTGGGGCGGTGTGCTGACTTTGTGAAGGTCGTAGGACTCCATTAAAGGTGTCGGAACGTAGAGGACGACGGGTCGTCCCCGCAGGTACATACGGACGGTGCTTTCCTCCTCGTTGTGCTGCATGTCTCTGGTACTGTGAATTACAAATATTTTACCAATCTGAGTGGATCACCCCCGCCAAAATCACCCCATCCGACGTGACTCAAACGCAAACATTGTTAACCGGTACCAGAATCAATCAATCGTATCAAGTTCAAACTATCGTCCAAACTATCGAATCAATCAATCGTATCAAGTTCAAACTATCGTCTAAATTATCGAATCAATCAATCGTATCAAGTTTAAACTATCGTCTCAATTCAAACTTCTAATATATCGCCTTCACAAAATTTTAATTTTAGATTTAAAAAGTAATTTAATTATTAATTATATTGTATAAGATTTATTTAGAATATAGAATTCAAATAATAATATATTAAGTGAATTAATATAAAATACTACAATTATGAATGAAAGTTTTAGATGGTAAATAATTTTATTAAATTTAAATTTAGTGCCAGCAATAGCGGTTATACTGAATTTAAAAATTAATTTTAGATAAATAATAAATTAAAAATAAGAATTAATTAAAATAAAGTTATATTAGTGAAATATAATAATTTTATACAAATTAATTAATAGAACAAAAAAGATTTATAAAGATTAAAGGTGAAAACTAGAATTAGATACCCTATTATATTAATTAAAAATAAGTTTAGTTATTAAATGTAAAACATTAAAATTATAAGATATGGCGGTTATATAAAACTTTAGGAAGCTTGTGTATTCATTTGATGATCCACGATAGGATAAACTAATAAAATTTATAAATTATTTTTGTATTATTGTTTTAAGATTTTATATTAATATTAGAGTTCTAAAGGCACTATAGAATAAACAACATATTTATACAAGGGGTGTATTTTTCTTAAATCGATCGTCTCATACAGTCTTAAAGTCGTTAATTCGAAATTAAGTCAGAGCTCATGCTAAGGCTCGAATTTGTGGAGCTCAACAAATTCAAAATATTATATAATTAGAGGAAGTAGTTGAATATATTTTCTTAAACACATTTTCCTCTGTATCTCCGAAACTAACAATAAGGCCGAATTAAGGTGGTCATTTCGAATGTTGATCTTGACAACGTATTTCAAAGTTACTGAAATGAATAAGATTTCTCCTTTTCTAGATAATCATCGATTAATAATTTTAATATCAAATGCATTTAAATTTTATGGCTACTCCTTCAATAAATATTTCACATTTCTTATTACCAGTTAAATCTGTTGTCAGTGAAATCGTTGCCGGTGATTTTATCGACCTTATTTCAACAAAACATAATGAATTTCTTTAAAGAAATAAACATACTAAATAGGATATAAAGTAGCATGTGCAGCACTAAAATGTAATTTCTAATAACATTAGTATATAATCGGTGCGGTTCTAAATGTCAAATAAATAACTTAATTAAAACATGTGTTTAATTTTCCATTTCGTAATCTTTTTCAGTGTCCATTTCACCGAATCATAATTTCACTCATGGTAAAAGTAGAAATGGTACATGTACCCAATATTTACTTTTTTAACACTACACCTGTCAGCGCTTTTTACTCAACACGCGTCGATACTTTCACCGATATCTCTATATTTATAATGTTTATATTACAATTACGTTATGTATTTTATACCGTTTCTGATACACAAATAGGTATTTGCACTTACCAATATAACACCGATTAAACAGAAACAATGCTGTACGATTTCGAATATGTACTTAATCACCTCACTGATTGTAATGACAGAAATTTTCGTGGCGATACAGACGCATCTACTCCAGAAACCGACCGCGAATGAATGAGTCACCTGAGAGTACAACTTTGCTTTTATTACTCGACCGAGAGAATTTTTGCCCGATACATAATACGTTACGTCACTTTTATACGTTCCTTTTACTGCATCGCCTCGCTTGCTCGCCTTCGCCTTAACTGCATTACAATCAAGGACTGTCTGCTGTTCGAGATACAATTTACAACTTGCTTAAAAAATTTGAAACTGGTGGTTCAGTAAATTAACCAATCATTTTTTTCGATTTAGGTTACTAGATGTTTTTGCGTAACTTCTAACCATGAGCTATTCGGACACTTACAGTAAGTGACTATTTTAAATTAATTTTATGCCTTTCATCAAACACAAATAGAGTAAGTCAAAAAAGTATTGCCACACCTAATTCTTTTGTAAGTGAAATGACAGGGTAAAATGACGACTCTAATGGTAAGAAAAACTTATACAAAAACCGTGCAGGTCGGTAAAGTAGAAAAGTAAATACAGTAATGCTTCTCACGCTGTCCGTAAGGTGGGTAGCAAAAATGGACAATACGGGTAGAACAGATACTATTTCTCGATCCTCGCAGCTGCTTTTGATCTCCGGTAAGTCGCAAAAGAGAAGAATGGCATGAGAGCCGTAGCAGCCGAAAAATTAATAAGTTTAACTTTTTTATTTTTAGATTTTTCTGCATGCAAATTGTTTTAACATATTGGTACAATTTTTCTGATTAAAATGAGACCAAACATGGCATAATTTAGACTACATGGAGGAATAAAAAATTCGCATTGGGGATGTTTCCTTGTATAGTTCACTTCACCAGAGTCCATAACTGCGACGCGCAGGTTGGAAGATGCTGGAGGAACTTAGCAAGCCTTGAACTCCCACTTCGTTAACCGTGAGTTTAATATACGGGGTGAAACAATAGTACGGTTGAATAGGAAGAATATAAAATGATACACGTGAGTAAAAAACCGTGCTACCCGTTATACACTCCAAATGATACACATTCGCGTAGATGCACCGCGTGGAAGCACCTCAGCGACGCTGTGCGCAGGTGTATGGGAGTGGGAGTATCGCCAATCAGGGCGAAGATGCGCACGAAAGAACGAAAACTGGACTTTTCGCAGTTATGGACTCTGGTGAAATGAACAATACATAAAATAAGTGAATATGATCCAAATTATATCGTGTTCGGTTTAAATTGTTTTAAACTGACCGCCGTAAGGCAGCCAGCATTTTTGGGTCTCATTTTTCGAGTCGCCAAAAATCCTTCTTACAAATATTGTTTTTATGTAAAATCAAGCTATTTGCAAAGCTTACACCGGTATTCCTGGGATAACTGACCAGTTGATAGGGTACCGATGGTCCACAAGAGAGACGGGTTTTAGTGGGTAGTGTACCACCTCGAATTTTTTAGTGACGGTAGTACGAATCCCACACTGCCCGGGTGCCTCCTAGCGGAATAATGTGAAAATATTTCTCTTTCGGCTTACAAAAAAAGCTATTTGCAAAGCTTCAGCCAAATTCGAGGTGACAGGTTTTCGGAAGAGAAAACCATGGCAAAAATGCAATTTTTTTGAAACTCTCCGATATTTCTAACCATCTCCCTTTGGAAACTACTGAGAAACATTCCGTTTCAAAACAGCACCAAATAGATCTACATCTATATTGTTCTTACAATTTTAGCAGTTATAAAATATCCAATTCTATAATTGAAATGTAGATCTACAAAATTGCATTCACTACCCAAATATCTGTAAGAACATAATAATTTGAATTAGGAAGAAAGAGAAAGGTCCGTATGGCTGCGATGGTAGGGTACATGCGCGTGTCACGATTAACATACAATCCGTCATATTCTGCGATTGTACCGACCGAACCAGCTCATCGTACACCCCCAATCGCGCCACCGACGAGAGACTGTTACACTGACAAGACAATCTCTCGTCGGTGACGCCTGGCATCCCTTTTGGGAAAATAGTGGTTTCAGGCACTGACAGGCATAACAAGAAACTAAACACTTAATTACATTGCTGACATATATTTCTTTTTTCGTTTGTAATAATTGTAATAAAAATAAACTAACATATACGATTATCGTACCATATTAAAATTGTTATACTGTATATTACACGAATTATCCTCATATCACTCAAGCTACCTTTCGCGTACCACTTGTTGAGGAACCACTGCTTTAAATAATAACTTACTTCAATTGACATAAAAATATATGCCATTATTTTAGAGTAATCAATCCAACATAGTCAGGGAAATAGTTTCTAAAAAGATATTTATTTTCTATTAAAAAGTATCTACTATTTTATCCAGAAATGTTTAAATTAGTTATTATTCTCCTGACTTATAAGTACCTGTTGCCTTGAAATTGAATATGTCTTATATTATCGTGTTTGAATCACCCTAGATTGGCAATAGTTTTGTTCGTTTTATACGTATGTATCATGTCGGTCGACCCTTTCGTTTCATTCGGAGATTTGAATGCGCAGGCTCGCGTGATTCCATGCAGCCGCATGCCGTATGCGAAATACCGAATACCGGTTTGCACGCATCTCTATGTTCAACACGGAATTTATTATTGCATTCCTCGAGTTCAACCTTTAATACAGCAGCAAGATGATACACCAATTCTAAATAACTTGATCGGTGTTCTTATTGCGACTGTTCTGATATCTTTTCATGTTTTTAACCGACTTCAAAAAAGGAGGAAGTTACTTAATTCGATCAGTATATATTTTTTTTTGTTCATCTTACCAGTTTCTAATTAACCCCTAAAAGAATTAGATAACTAATCGTAACAATACTCTGTTGAAAATAGACTCAACACTATGCAACACCACACATTGAATGAAATGGTATCTATGCCACCACAAGTATTAGATGTATACATTAATTTGGTGGCTCTAATATTACGCTTTATTAATTTCTATTTTAAATTTGAATATTTTTTCGTGCTTCTGTGTATTTGAAATTTGGCGTGATAATATATATTCACAACATAAATTACGTCAATAATGTAGGATAGTAGTCATCCTTTAGTGTTAAGCTTAGTTATACGTATACGTTTAGTTTAGATTAAGATAATTTACGATAGGATCATGGTGACGCGTCGAGGACCTGTAGGCCTGGTAAAGCGAGGAGTGCAACGTGCTTCCTCTCCCAGGTCATAGAGCGAAAAGAGCTTTTCTGAAAAACCCCTCCCAAGGTTGAAAAATTGTGAATGGTCGGGGACCTTAAGAATGGGACAGTCGTGGTGTGTCGTTCTTTGGTAGCGCTGTAGGCGTTTAGTGGAGGGGGAGAGGGTTTCGTCACCCCGGATGCCTTTAGTTCGGGCTGGGGACCGCTAGATGGCCGCGAGATGATAGTGACAGTGTTCTTGCAAGCGGTCGCCTAGCATGAGGTTAGAATATACAGGGTAATTCTCTCACTGCTGGACACAAAAGAATTGGCGACAATGAACCTCTTGATCGCACCATGAAGAGGTCCGTATTGTAAGCGTCTACTAAGTTGAGACTCGAGGTGTGTGAAACGCTCCGCCTAATCCTCACCTGGAACCCTCGTCTAGTAGTAGTAGTAGTAGTTTCTACTAGTAATTGTAACCTAGAGAGCGAATAGCGAGAATGCGTGTGGGTCAACTGTATAAGTGTGCGTGTTTAAGTCTGGCCCATCTAGCTCCGACCAATCAGACCTTAGGAGTCACAACTTAGCAGACGCGTACAGTACACATATACGTATTGTGCAGAGATGAGATGTTGCGGAGGCTAAGAAGTGCCTCCTTGGTCTGTCCCGCCTAGTCCCTACGTCGTCATGCACCCACACCATTTAACTTTGCGGCGTGCTTAGTATGTGTGAGCGTTTCGACCAATAACGCGCGACGGGCTAGAATGCGTGTGCATTAGGCGTGACTAGAAAACTCTGACCAATCGTACCCGCATTCCTTAGCCTCCGCAACATCTCATCTCTGCACAGTACACACACAGAGTCGTCTCGGCCCGGGTAGGTCCTCGCTGGCACGTGACAATGGGAACCTCCTCATGGACCAGTCAAGAAATTCATTGTCGCCAGTGTTCCTTTGTGTCCAGCATCGAGAGAATCACCCTGTATATGTAGAAGTTCCGAATTGCGGTATGATAGGTGTCGGGCACGGATCGTCTGTTGTCAGCCCCACTAACGAGTCTGACAGACGATTCGGAGACGAAACGCCTTTTTCTCCCCACTCCTACAGCGTATCGTTTGTATTTTAGTCGTTTAGTTGTAATTTTGTTTAGTCGTAATTTAGTTGTCCATAGTCTAGCAGTTTCGAGTTGTAACCATTTGTACCAAATATAATCTTCACTCAATTCGAATTGAACTAGCATTCGTTTTCGCTTCATCATCGCATAATCCCACAATAATTAGAGTTACCATGACTGTTTAAAAATAAATTTTCAAGTAAGAAAAGACAGGCATAAAATTAATTTATACATCTAATAGTCACGGTCATCACAAATATCTTCTGCCAATTAAATTGAAGGCCATGAATTCCACTGTAGTAGAAATCATCCACTACAATTTTCGTATCATTAAGGGTTCAGAAGAAATGTCACTCTCGGAGATAGTTGTCTAACAGGCGATATTTTGATGGTACGATATTTGGAACTATGGTGAGTACCAACTTTCACAATCAAGACCGGTAATATCATGAGTCACCTTACCGACGCGCGACGTGTGGTTTTTCGTTATCATGCAATAGAAGAATTTTCTTGCTATTCATAAATGTAAGCATTTTAAATTACAGTTTCTCATGAACAGCTGTTTCAGAGTATACAGTCATACTAACTGTTGTATTTGAGATTTTCACAATGATTTGAATTAGTATTTATGACTTCGAGTTTCCATCGCGTTGGTCTTTTGGTTATCTTTCTAACGTTCTTTTCTAACGAGTCTATCATTCACGGCATTTTTTATTTCATTTTGAAATTAGAAGCAGACGGATTCACGAAAATCAGGAATCTCCCTATTCGCATGCGAGATCAAATGCCAAAGGTAACTTTTGTTACAGTAATTAACGGCATGCTACTGCAACGATACTACGTATCGTGAAATTTGGAACACGGTTATCTTTCGTTTTACGTGTTTCCTTCCATCTGCTATTGACTTCACGATTAACTTTCGTAATAGTAATTCGTGTCAGTATTTAATACCGCGATAACATTGACGTTCATCAGAGGTAGTGATCGGAACGGTACCGAATCAGAACTACCGATTCTACAAATTACACTGTTTAACAGCCATTTGAACTTGTAACATTCAATTCTTGCACGTTTTTGTATGAGGGAATTATAATAGCACAAGAGTGATAAAACAACGTGCAGATAATCATTTTCTCTTTCCAATGGCTGTTTTGGTGAGGGAAGAAAAAAAAAGAGACAAAAAAGAAAAAGCGCATTGCAACAATAATAAAACGAGGGAAGAAGCTCGTTTTTTGTTATTGTTGCAATAACATATACTTTTCCTTTTTTGTCTCGTTTTTTTTCTTCCCTTGCCAAAACACCCATTGGTAAGAGAAAATAATTTTCTGCATGCTGTTTTATCACTAGACGGTGTCTAGTGACTGCACGCATGTATCGGACGCCCGCCCGAGCCTGCCCGATGTTTTCCGAACCGACCCTACTAATCGGAAACCCGACACATTGGTCGGGCCGCACATCACTACTAACTAGACACCCATTAAGCTATGTGTACACGAGAGACTATAAAATAATTTTTAACAAAAAATACAACCGACTTCGAAATGCACTAAAAAGTATGAAATAATTTCTTCTTCATTTATACAAATACCCAACAGCTACTAATAAAACCTATTTACTCGTTAAATAGTATACTAAATACATTTCAACCTTTCCGGAGGCACATTGCACATTGCACAAATTTTCAACTTTCAATCGCATAAATTGAGAACTTATTGTATTTTACAGTTGGTACATATATTCATTCGCGTAACTAGATGATTTGTTCCTTACCACTTCCTCCAAATGCAGATCAGAAATTATTGGTATAAATAAAAAAGCATTCATGTATTTGTAAAATCTTACCTTGATAAAAATAACTATTTAAACCGAAGTGCAGTAGGCAATGCAACCAAATACAAAATATATAATAATATTCTTGTTACGCGAAATAATCAATAAAATTATATTAGAATTAAGCTGCAATTAACACCAAACACTTTTAATAAAACAAGAGAATCGGATTCACTCGACTCACCGTAACAGAAATTCTAGTTACGCCAGGGCACGTGGTTTGTTTATTCCCATAACACATCGACGACTGTGTGGTGTTAATATTATAGTAATTTTCATTTTAATTGACAAAAAATTGCACACATAATTTTTTAACCTTAGAAATAAAACTTTTACCATAATTATAAAAAGAAAAAAATAAGAAGTTTAGTATGTATACTTGATGTCACGAGAGTCCATAACTGCGAAAAGACCAGTTTTCGTTCTTTTCTGCGCATTGTCGCTCTGATTGGCGATACTTCCAGACGAAGTGGAAAGCGATTGGAGTGCGTTCCCCCACCATCTTCCCACCTGCGCGTCTTAGTTATGGACTCTCGTGACATCAAGCATAGATTGTTTAGTATACATACATGTGTGAAATAAAAATCTCTTAATATAACAGTTTATGTAGGTCAATTAAACATGAACCGTAATTGTATTAAAACAATTAAACGTGGAAACGTACGTTGTTGCAATGATTTAGGGATATTAATGAGAGTATTTAGATTCACTGTATACAGGGTGTTCCAGAACTGGGGTAGGACCCGTGGAGAGATGATTGCTGAGGTCATTCTAAACAACATTTTTCTTTGTCAAAATGTTGGTTAAGGATTTGTTTTCGAGTTATTAACGAAAAACACTGGCCAATCAGAGCGCGCCAATAGCGCGGGCAGAACCGCAAGAGTGTTGGGTACGCTCTGCGTTCAAACCGTGGTGTAATGGGATTCGTTGTTCATGAGTAACCAATAATGCGATACTATTATTCCTTTCTTTTTTAAATTCATTATTTGATACAACTTTTGCCCAAGTTTTTCGTTAATAATTAAAAAATGAAGCCTTAATCAACATTTTGGCGAAGGAAACAACTGATCAGAATCACCCCTTCAAAAAACTTACATTCTCTCCGGGATATCCTGTATAGAATTTAATGAAGAAGGATGATTTACATCACCAGTCGTCAAAGTGTTAAGAGACGAGATTAAAAATCATAAAATGTTAAAGGACATTTTTTATTTACCCATGTTTCACGTTGTTCGTCGCAGGGGGCTTGAAGAGGTTGAACAGAGACTTGGTGGAGGCTGATAATCTATAATGAACGAAAATGCAAACGGAAACCATACGGTGCAAAACAAATAAAACAGATTAAAGAAAAAAGGACAACGACAAGTAATAACAAAAAGAAACACACACAGAAAGATTGTGACAGAACGAACGTGTTGCTTTTTTAAACGCAATTCTACGCGTTCTTCCCCACGACGCGACGAGACGCGACGCGACGAAGGGAATTATGCACTTCCGGCCCTATTCTCTCGGTTCAGTTGGTTTCAAAGGGAAGTTCAACAGGCGGTAAATGGAAACCAATCTGAAGACAGCGCTGCTTTTGAGGATTAATGAGCCATAAAGTGAACTCACGTCGCGAAGCGTAATCGATAGTTCGTTGTTCTGCTCGACTTTATCGATCAGCAGGTGTCATTTACCTGCAGGACCTATATATGTATACAACTTTTACATTATGTACAAAGTATGTTCAGTAAAGGAGAGACGCCAATTTTCATGCAACGTAGCACAAAGTTATTTGCTGGAATTATCTAACAATTTATCTATATCTATTTATTTTAGTTACCTCTTTTATTTATACGCTTATAACGCGTAAACTATATGGAAAAAAATTGGAATTTAGGTATCAGTGATCAATTTTTGAATTGTACTTTACAAAAAAAAATCATTTTTATAAATGGATGATTAGAATGATATACTATCAAAACCAAAATTCATTGAGGAAAGTATCGACACTTGATATGAAAAACATTGTAACTAGTTTATGCTAGGTTTACAGGAGAGCGATTTGCAAATTTCTAACCCTGTTTTTTACATCTGCTGTTTATTTCCGTTAGTGTAATAAGGACTGACCCGCTAGTTTTACACGAGCCTAATTAGTAGATGTGATCACTTCGACCAATCATACGTCACGACCGAAAGTAGGTGTAAACTGAGGTAGGGCGCGACCAATCAGATTGTGTTATTCTCATGGGACTTCTTGTGATCAGAAGGCAATACTTACAAGGGGAACTACCCAAGTGTTACACTCACTTATTAATGAAACTTTGGCAGTTTGTAGAGCTCGTCGAGCTGAACACGCCTATACCCCGTTTTGTGGGCAGACGACTAATTGTTTAAAAGATATTAATAATTAAAGTTAGTTACTACTTGCATTGAGAAGTATGACAGATTCACACATACAACTCGCAATCTAGAGATCCACAGTTCAAATCTTTGGTTCCCAACATGTTTTTGTTTTTTAATGATAATTTGTCTCTTTTTGAATAACTATTACATAAAAATTATCATTACAAAAAAAAATGTTGGGAACCAAGGATTTGAACCGTGGATCTCTAGATTGCGAATTGTATGTGCGAGTTTCTCATACTTCAGAATGTAAGGAGTAACTTATTGTAATTGTTAATATCTTTTAAACAATTAGCCGTCTGCCCACAAAACGGGGTATAGGCGTGTTCAGCTCGACGAGCTCTACAAGCTGCCAAAGTTTCATTTATAAGTGAGTGTAACACTTGGGTAGTTCTTGTTAGATGCAATGAAAATTTAGCTATGGGTCAACAAAGTTTTCAGTTTGCGGCGTTACTATTTTTAATCGGCTCTTTTCGTGTATAATCGAATTAAAGTGCATAAATACTTCATTCTGATCAAGGATAAACAACACGTTCGAATGTCACGCAACATAAAACATCGTTAAGAAACAGCAAAAAGAACAGTACAAATTTTAATTAAAGTCTGTGCATAAATCAAAAGAAAATTACGAAAGCAGGCAAAAATGCATTCACTAGTGAAAAATATGAATTCCATGCTTACCTACTGCTGACAAGTTGTGAATTGCTTCCTTGATTTTGAGGGGAATGAGTAAAATCCCCCGTCGACGACCACCGCTTCGCCCTTCTTAAACTGCTTTTCGGGGGTCCGTTTGATCTTGCTGTTGGTGATCTATCAAATAATAATACGATTTCTATGTAACTAGAAAGCTCATTACCTGCTTCGTAGAACTGCTGTTTCGTAATTGTAGCTTCATTTACGAGGTTGAACGGAGGTTTTCATTTTCCCTTCCCGTTTGAAATATGAAAATCTCTTCATCTGCGTAGTCGCATAGAGTTGTAATTTTAACGGAAAATGATTTTATATATTAACCCCTTCGCCTATGATTTTTTCAATTGATGCTTCAGTCAGAACTATTGCTTCAATTTTCAAACAAATAAAGAAAAATGAAATATTATGCATACATAGCATTCAATGATTTTTGATTGAGCAAATTATAATTAAAATTAAACTTCAAATTATACCACACTAAAAGTCCCAGCCAAATTTGACACGTTTGAACTGTAAGTTACGTCACGAGTGTGACACGATTTTGTAGGGCAAGGGGTTAACAATATCGTATGATTAAATGAAGATGATGGAGATACTCTAGCATAGTTTTCTGACGTGGAAAATATTCCAGGTATTTGGAGTCGATTTTAATGATATTGTAAAACATTACAGTACATCAAATAGTAAATAATACGTAATTCTTTTGTTCATGGGAAAACACTTCTGGGGGTGTTTTCAACCCCCCGAAAATAGCGGTATAAAATGTCGATCTGATTACTTCGTTGTAGGTATAACAGTGCTGCTTATTTGTATGATCTATTATTTATAATATACTACAATATTATCAAAATAACCGACATTGGCGCAACTAGGGAAGGGCTAGGTTCGTCCTGGTCCCTCGAAACTGTGAATTGGCCCCTTCACTATTTTAAAATTTTAGCAATCCCAAATTGCAAAACTCCCATTTCTAAATTTCTAAAAGACATTACATTACATTACATTACAATTAGACTTTACTTGGGTATGGCCCAAGATGGCGTTCTGTAGGGGGGTTCATTTCTAAGAGACCTGACCCACCCTAGAATAAATTCATAGTTACGCCAATGTAAGCAACGGAGATCTGGAATATCCTCTTTGTAAGTAAAAATAACAAAAGATGGAAGCATATAGTTATCTACTAATTGCTACCATAACTATTTGTAGAATCAATGATAAATAACAATCGAAAGTTGTAACTGAAAATCGTTAATATTCATTTCATCTAAAGAACTCCTTACGCATATATTTACTTCAATACATTGAATGCGAGATTAATTTTATTAAGTGTACCAAAAAATTCTGTCCACGCTTATGAAACATATAGCTAATACTCGTTAAAGTGATACCAATTATGAACATTTATTCCAGAATTCTAATTGATGAGTATGATGAAATATTGTTTGCTGAGCACCATTAAACTGTTCACCTATCACGTTTCGTGTCAAAAGTGGATATTCATTTAAAATATTCCGGAAAGCATTGTTATCGATTTTTTTGATGTATACGTGTGAAAAAAAACGGCCCTAAGGTGCTAGGGCTTAGTGCCTTAGGGCTAGGCGGTACTTCCTTTATGTAGAGCAGTAAGCAAATCATCCTATACTTTATTTACTACTGATTGCGTTCGAATAAAACAAAACCCCGTTTTTATTCGCCATGAATGTGGTTATTGTTCGTCCTGTAATAAATAAGGTAAAACAAAATACATTACAGAGGCTTTCATTTTCGAGGCACAGAGTTCTTATTAAATATATTTCTTTCAAATTTCTAGTATATTGGGGTCATTAGATTATAAACTACTTCAAAAACATGATTTTGAATTTTTTCACATGCCATTGTTACGACCAGCCGCCTAAACATCCGATAAGACGCATTCATCCGCCACCAACTACATTATAAAAAAGACCCCACCGGACATAAGAAGTTAGTTAATGAGAACCATACTCTAAAACCAAATAAAGTGCCATACTCTTAAAAGTGCCATTCACTTATTTCTTAAATTCTGCGAACTTTCTATGTGCAACAGTCTATGTTTAAACAGGCGATCTCGTTGACATAAAAACACTGTGCTATGCAACAGTTTTATATTCAGTTGCAAACGTGGTATATTTTTCAAAGAATTAAAAGGGAAACTAACTTTTATTTAAAAAATTTGTATTCTTCATGTCCCAGTAAACAATATTTAATTTTAAAGGTATTGTAAAGTTCCTAAGTAAAACGACAACTTGAAACGTATCTTACATTTGTGCAAAATTTCAGATCAATGAAAATTTCACGATGAATAAGCGACTGATTTCGGTAATTTACTTGTTAGTTTCGTATCTACTTTGACGTATAGGTAATATTTTTCAAAATTAACACAAGCAAACGGAAATTAAAGAAAGCTAACTTTCAAACTATTTCGAAAAATTATAATAAAATCATAATAGAATTATAATAAAATTTCGAAAAATTATAATTGAATTATAATAGAATTATAATAGAATTCGAGCCTTACAGTAATTGCAGACTCGTGGTTAATGCCTTAGTTACTGACTTGTGAAATTTCGAAAAATTATAATTGAATTATATTATAATAGAATTCGGGTCTTACAGTAATTGCAGACTCGTGGTACAATTCCTTATTTTTTTTTTATGGACATGAAAATTATATGAAAATGCGAAATAAAGCTTTCTTTGACCGGTTACACTAACAATAAGATACCTCCTAAACTTTAGGACCTAAAGGATCAACAGAAGTGACAGCCCAAGACCGAATTGATGCTGGGGGCCTCACGCGGGAAAACTGAGAAACTCCGGACGATTCCTGTCCCTTCTGATGGTCATAGAGCCATGTAGACATTAAAAAATTCAAATTTTGCGATTTCGTAGTTCAAAGATTTTCAAGTGAAGAAGCAATATTTTCTTATGATTTCAGTTTTTAATATTCATTGTACAATTATACAACGCCGTACAGAACCCGATTTTGTAATTTAACTTGTAGAATCCTATAAAAAATGCATTTTTGTTGAAATAATTCTTTTTACAATGTTTTCCAAAAAACGCTCTGTACATTGACCGATATACTCTTCCTATGAATACTACAATCATTATGCGTTTCTCTTAGAATGATGTCCCACAAATGTAAATAACTTTTCCGTGTTCCAATGCTACTGCGCTGAAGATGCAAGTGTTATTCCTTTCAATCTTAAAACATTCAATCCAGCATCGACTTCCGATATACTTAACCCTTTGACTGCTGAGTACTCTAGGCTTAAACGTTCTATGTGTAGAAAATAAGAATTAAGTCAATAACATTTATCATTTTTTCTTTTTTATTTCTCTTCATTTCTAAATTTATTTTCTTTTTTTCATTGTTTTATCACATTACTATAATCTGATAACATAAGGCGTGTAATTAGTAACATGCATTGATAACTTTTGATTACGATTAAGATATAAAAGAAAACTATGGATACATATGTGGGTACATAGTCAGCGACAGCTTTCACCTGACGCATATGTGCGTCCATAGCAGTCAAAGGGTTAAATTCTGTTTTGGGATGATCACGTTATCTTCATAGTAAAACGTAAAAAACGCAATGGCATAAAAAAATCTCGCTGACTGACATTTTTGGTCTACTGTTGTTTATAACACGAAACTATGTACTATTTCACATAACTCAAAAGCCAGGACATATGTGTAATGTAACAGTCAATATTTATAACTTGCTCGTATTATACCTACAAATGTAACACTTCGATGGCCCTAAAATGGACAGAACATTTCGGTAGACTTGTCAGAGCAAGCGTGCGTGCACAAACGTTTATGCGACGAGTGACCATAACCAGCGGAGTGAGAGTGGTTTGGCCATGCTCATTAGAACATCCTTTCAGTGAAGGTGTAAGGCAGATGTTCTCAATTTCGCCATGCTAATGATTACAGCGTTGCATTATTTTTCTAAATGTTTATCTAATGAAATATGCAAACGTCTCATACATGATAGTTTATATTCTTACCTGACGCCTGGAACAAATTTATACTTAAAAAACTGATTTTTTATTAGTTCAAAAGAAAAAACAGTAAAACATTAAAACTGAAGAAACTGGCACACACAATGCACACAATTTCGCAAAGATGCCGTAATGTACTGTAACGAGTTGAAAAGAATTCATTTAGAAAAAACGCGGGCCGGATTGGTTGTGCCCCACCTCAGCTTATATATAGGGTGTTTCATAACTCCTGTAACGCCCGGAAATGAGGAGTTGCTGGGGTGATTTTTAACAACTTTTCCTTTTACCAAAATGTTGGTTCATGCTTCGTTTTTGAATTATTAATGAAAAACACAGCGTTGGCTTTCAATCGCGCTCGGTCGTGGTCGTGAACAAACGCATTGGTACAAAGTACAAACGCATTCGTTATTCATGAATACCGAATAATTCCACATTGTTCTTAATTTAAGACGATGTAACATTTGTCGCAAGCTTTTCTCAATATCCACGTTGTGTCAATGCGTTTGTTCACGACCACGACCGAGCGCGGTTGAAAGCCATCACTCTCGTGGTTGAGAGCGCGTTTTTCATTAATAATTCAAAAACGAAGCCGCAACTAACATTTTGTTAAAGGAAAAAGTCAACCCAGCAACCCCCCATTTCGGGGTGTTAGAGAGTTATGAGAGTTATCTTGTATACATTCATATGCGTCTGTCTTTAGTGAAAAATTTTGATCAAAAAAAGTGTCTTTATTAATAAAAAATAAATTTGTTAAAATACGGCATGAAAGAACTGAATATTACCATTTTTAATTACCACTTGCTTGTGTCATGATTTTATAATTATAGCAAAAGTTAATAAGTAAATGCAGACGATGGGTGCACTGTGCATAAATTAACTATTCATAGACGCTTTTAGCTTTTGACTGGTCTAAAGGAGGGTGAAAAAAAAGGCGAATAGGTGTGTATTGTACTTACGTTTGAACTTCGCCTAAATTCCGCTCAGCATTGTAAAACTTATTAAATATAAACGACTATCTCAACGGTATTTACAGATACATATAAAAAAAAAATGGGCACGAAATTAATAATGCAATACATTTTATATCCTGTAGGTGTCAGTTGTGCACTCATAATAACGGACAATATTTTGAAATGGAAAGTAACCTACTCCTATGATATCAACTAACGATACTAATTGATTATTAGTTCATATTTTTGTTTAAAACTTTTTAATAAAGCGTTTAAGAGCTTATGTTTATATGACAATTTTGTCTTATATTTGTTTGTGGAATATCCTGGTAAAGTTTGGCGGGACAAAACTGGGACCCCTTGTATATGTATACAGGGTGTTCGACAACAGATGGACAAAATTTTAAAGGGTGATTCTAGGGATCAAAATAAGACGAAAATCAAGAATAACGAAATAGCGTTTGCGGCTTTGTTTTCCAGTAATTAACGTTTCAAAATTCGAATAAAAAGCGCCTGAAACCTGCGATCCCCCCAGCACCGACGACTGAACGTCAGGTCAGCAGGGGTCGGTACAGTCATAACCAAGAATCGAAGCCGAATGCTGCAGTACCGAGAAGCAGAATAGCACGAGGTAAGTTTCTACTATTCAACGATTCTTGGTTATGATTGTATCTTCCCCTGCTGACCTGACGTTCAGTCATCGGTGCTGGGCGGATTGCAGGTTTCAGGCGCTTTTTACTCGAATTTTTAAACGTTAATTCCTCTTTCGAACGATCCCTCACCCAGCCCCAAATCTTCTCATTTAAAGACGAAAAACGTAATTTCCTAAACTCCTTTTTAGGTCCATTTTTGCTGGTAATGTCACCTGGCTGCCTTACCCGTGTCTACCCTTTTAAGGGTGAACAGGAGTGACGGTCCAAATCCGAATTGATTTCGGGGACCTCATGTAGGGAAACTGAGAAATTCCGGATGATCCTTGTCTTCCCTATATGAGGAATCAAGGCGCTATTGTCAAACAGCTACATTAACATAAAAAGGTTCAGATTTTGCGATTTCTTTTTCCCCTGATTATTTCTTTAAAATATTCTTCGTACAAGTACCCAGCGGTGTACAGAACCCGATTTCGTAATTTTGCGTTTAAAATCTAATGAAACATGTGTTTTTGTAGAATTTTTTTTCCTAAACAGCGCTCTGTGCCACGACAATAAATATACTTCTCTAGGATATGAATATCATAGTAATCATAGTTTCACTACTACTTCACTAGCGGTGCTACTGTCACTCCTGTCGATCCTTAAGATTCGAAGAAAAGAAAGAAGTAAAACATAGGAGCATATCATTACTGAAATATCTGTACCAGTATCTTTTCAATAATTTACAAGACGTAGGTACCAATAATACTTTGGCATCGAAAAGGTACAGCATTGTTATGTACGTACACATGTATACTATATTATTTCTTATGTTTTAAAAATTGCTGTTGTTTTCTTTTCTTAATAAATTTATTTTTTAAGAATATAAACTCTATGACTGTAAGTAAACAGTACCGAAAAATATTCTTCTATTTATTTAGTTTATATATCTCTGTTAAGCTTTCATTAAATTATTTCAAAAATCTGACATCATTTGATGACATCAAAGTTTTGTGAAATAACACATCGTATCAGTTTAAAATTCAGTTTGATAAAAATGGCTATATAAACCATTCATCAGTCTTTTTAATATAAATTGGTTAATTACTGGTTACCATAAATAATGACCGATTTGAAAATATATAAATATCTAACACAATTTAATGGCATAAAACTGTTGCTAAGCAGCGCTTATATTAATATAAAGCTTACAGTTTTGTTAGACATGATTATAATATTAATATTATTATATAATATTTCATCAATATTTTTATTAAAAATTACCTACAGTCTATTCAACGAGATGAGACAGTAAATATATACACATTCACGTGTTCAAAGCAGTCCTGACTCACAGTATACAGAGCTCGACCGAAACGTTTGAAAAACTGGAAACAACTGTGCTCGACCCTGCGTCGAGCGCGTAAAGGGTATAGCAGGATAAGATGGTCAAAAGTGCCCTTGAGCCGATTTTTTTCAGCAATGCACCATTTTATAGCTTATAATAAAAAACCATTGCACACCAAGTTTCAACCCTGTATCTCAACTGGGAGGGTAGTTACAGGGTAAGAAAGAAAAAGTGGTTTTTGCCATATTTTCCCTATTTAATGGCATTCAAAATATCTGAAAAAATTCTAGAATATTCTAGCCATGTTTCTTTATGATTGTGAATTTTTTCAGAATTTTCGGTTGTAAATCCTAGGCGTGAAAAATCAAAAACGCAAAAAAAAGTCGAAAAATTGAGATTTCGGGTAGAAGCTTTCAAAACACTAGATTTACAATTGTTTTTTATTATAAGCTATAAAATGGTTCATTGTTGAAAAAAATCGGCTCAAGGGCACTTTTGACCATCTTATCCTGCTATACCCTTCGTAAACATATATGTACTGACTCGTCTCGTTGGTCGGACTATAGTTGTCAGCGAACCATCTTATCGATTACTACGTTGTATACAGTAAGAGTTTGTATACACTAATATTTCCAATATATACTTTCATATCGTCATATTTATTGGATATCTGATATTTCGAAATCTTCCAACTTTAATAAACAGTACCCTAATAGGCAGTGGCGGATTAAGTCAAGCGGGGGTCCCAAGCTATTAGGGTCCAAATTTCGGGGCCATCAAACTCAAGTTAGAAAAAGAAAGTTTAAAGAAAACTCACATTAAGTTATCAACAAAAAAGAAAAGTAATCAAAAATTGGTGTGTACTTATATCATTATGTTGACTATAATATTATGTGTAATAACAGAGTTATTGTTATGATATTTAAACAACCAAATATAATTATTTGATATACAAAAAAAAGGTAATTATTTGATATACAAAAAAAGGTAATTATTTGATATACAAAAAAAAGGGTAATTTTCCTCGAATCCTAATAAAAAGACATTATAAGACCTCGGGGCCCGACGCGGCTGCTTAGTCCGCTTACTGTTTAATCCGCCATTGCTAATAGATGCACTAATATGTCATTTTTAGGGGGTGTGCGTCTACTGAAAAATTCGATAGCCGAGCCTCAGGTCGGGTCGGTTGGCGTGGAAACCCGAAAGTTCATTTATAATATTAATTTATTCGAGTACCTATAATTTCTGGACCTAAATATCAACATTGAACCTGAACTCGATTCGAGATGTGAAACTCAATTCGGGAGCTAACACCGTCTTCGGAGTATGATTTGTCAGATTTAGCTTAAATTTTTAGCTTTGAAAGTGTTTTCGCGTATAATCGGATATAATTGACTTTCGGATTTCGAGTCGAGTTTGGGTCCACGAAATCACGGGTACTCGAAAAAAATGTGTTAGACAAACTTTCGCGGTTTTGCCCGAATCCGAAAAAATTCCGAGCCCGATCCAGAATTTTCCAATAGCCGCACACCCCTAGCAATTTTATAACTCGTTGCACCTCGAATGAAGCTTTTTATGAAGGAATTGTATTTCATGTTATTATACCTTAAATCATATCCTTAAAGTAGCAGAGTTATGTAAAATCTAATATAAGGAGTAAAAAGCATTAAATGGGATTTATATTAGTTTAATTTGAAGATATACCTGGCTACTGGCAGTGGTGTGGCTCTAGGACTTGGCGATGGCACCGGGGAAACACTACTACTACTGGGACTGTCCGAGTGTAACGAACCCGTTGATTGGTAATGAACTGACCTTCTGAAAGTTAAATTAAATTTGTCTGAGCCGTTCTCAGCCTCGATAGGTTTACATATATACAGGGTGAGCCACGTAAAACAGGTCACCTAATTATCCTATCAGGCTATTATAGTGTATGAGTATTTTCTTATATCTAATAAAAAGGAACATATCACATTAAAGCATCGAAAAATAGCTATATTTGCGGTTTTTCTTCAGAGGTACTTAATTACTGTTGAATGCAAACTTTTGATTTTTTCAAAATACATCTCCACTCGTGATTAAATCGGGCTTACCTAGGAAAAATGCTGCTATAAGCATCGCTGGGGAAAATGACAGTGTAGAGAAGGGGCCCCATATAAAATTAAAGACTAATTTGCAAATAAATTGGCCATTCTACTTATAGCGCAGTTCACCAGAGTTCATAACTGCGAAAAGACCAGTTTTCGTTCTTTCGTGCGCATCTTCGCCCTGATTGGCGATACTCCCACACGAAATGGAAAGCGATTAGCGGAGAGCTCGCTGCGTTCCCCCACCATCTTTCAACCTGCGTGGCTTAGTTATGGACTCTGGTGAACTGCACAATAATTGTATCGGGTTCACATACTAGAGTAAGATAGTTCTATTGATTTAATGAATACAATCCTTGCATTCAAATGAGCTAACCCCTTGATATTTAATGCACGATTCATCACATCCTGAAATATTATAGTATCGATCATAAAAACATTAATTTTTGTTTAATCACAAGTGTATCATCTTATCCGATGTAGGTGATATACATAAATAATGTGAAAATAAAATTGACATCAAACTTTGAAACCACTATGTAATATTTTTTCTGCACTTGGATACATGGCAAAGGTAATTACCTATTAAAAACTTATTTTTATCTAAACTTCTATTCACTAATTTCTCATATTAAATGCTTATGAATTACATAGATCAAGTCGTGATTTTGTTGGAACTTTCTGTCCCATCGTATTTTATCTACTTTATTATGCTAAACTATTATTGACTCATATACGTAAATAGCATACAAAACAGCTAAAAAAAATCAGCCAATATTACCAATAGAAATTAAAAATAGCATTGACCATCTTGCCCTGATTTCTCCTATAATATAATCCCCGATAATGTTTGTTCCCATAAAAGGTACAACAAAATGTTACGTACACGCAAGTTTGAGATACCCGGGTACCCATCGTATATGGACTGCGCCCTTTGTGAGAGAAGTTAAAGTTAACAATTGGACTAGAGGGTAGTAGTTGTGATCGCTATTTCTTTTTTTCTAATATGGAGGGGGGTTTCTATGTGTGCAAAACTGATTGTAGCTCTATGTATGATCCGTACCCGGGTATCTTAATCGTTTGAGTGCCAAGCGACGCGATCGCGCTTTGCTTGTGCCAGGTCAAAAAATGCCACGGAATCGGCTCATCGGATCCAACTATCCGTACGTTTAACGCTAATGGTAATACAATGTTAACACGTTGAATATCATGGGGGTCACCGGCGACCGACCCTGCAACTTAAACACAGCGGAATAATTAAAAGAAAACAATAGAAAAATATTATTTTAAGTAATATTGCTATGGTACAAATAATGTGAAATGGCAAATAGAAAGCTTGAAATTTGAAATTTGAAAATTAATTATTACTATTCTTAGTAATTAGAGCTTTAATACGTCCCACAAAAATGCCCCAATTGAACACCAGTATTTTTGCGAGCTGATTACGTTAGAATGAATAAACAATTAAATAATTAACAAAACTGTAAAATTAAATGACAAAATTACCGCGTTGCATAACACATTGTGACATACATAAAACAGAAAAAGTGCGATAGCGCCACATGGCATTTTTCGACCGGATTTGTGCTAAAACTCGTAGCACTCAAACGGTTAAAGCAAAATTTCTAATTAATGGGTTAAAGTTGTACAAAATATAAGTGATTGTGTAAATTATGAATTTTATTGTATAAAATATAAATACCTCTGAGGAAGTTGTGATGAATGTGTATAACTGACTGGTCTACGTGGACTGGAGAGAGAATCTCGTACATCCTGAGAAGATCCTGAGGAAGAAGAATTCCTCAGGCACGAAGTACTGGTTTGACGTAAACGTATGTCTTTTTGGGGCACCGAATTTTGATTACCTGCTAACATACGATGTTAATTAGATGAGACCGTTGAGTTGTTCATAGATATTCATCATATATAGGAATTGTACATATAAATGCGTGCAGAGCCGCCTTATGCATATGAATCATCTTTTGCAATCTTTAAAAAGCACCCCCCCTCCCCCACAATACGCAAGATAATTAAAAAAGTAAATATTTTTATGATTATAACATTTCTTTTTTAGAGATCACTATACATGGCATAATAAAATAATTTTAGACCATACATGCAGGTTATTTTACGCAACTAGGTCAGTTTTATAATAATAGAAGATAGTAATAAAATTAAATGGTGTCGAACGGAGTTTTATACAGGGTGGGTTGGAAATTATAGTACAACTGGGCAGGGGGTAATTCTATGTTAAAAAAGATGAAAATATTTTGGTACACTTTCTCATCTCAGGGCTCCGTTTTCGAGAAAATCTACTTTAAAGTTTGATCAACTTGGAAACGATTTAGTACAATTTACTGAAGCACCCGTCGCTTCGTAAGTTAGTCAATCTTCGGAGGCACTTGTCGCCTCAAATGCATCGGGAAGTACAGTGGGTAATCAAATTATTATGAACAGATGGAAAACTTACATATTTTATGTTTCCGATGCTATTATGTATTCCATAAAAGTGAAATAAAAAATGAAAGCGTAATTCCGTAACAGCCTGCCTAACTAATAAAAAAATTCAAGTTTTACCGTAGCCTGGAAACTCACCAGATATGAACCCAATAGAAAATCTATGGGTATTATTAAAGCGTCACATTTCATCAGAGACAATAACTAACGTAAGAAGCAACAACTGATTGACAAAATTATATTCTAGAAATCCTAGAAAATTGCCGAAAAAATATGGAAAGCATGCCAAGACGTATTCAGGCAATTATAGATGCCAAGGGCGGCGTGGACCAAATATTAACATTACTAGCATTCCCGTCGTGGCTTCGCCCGCTCTCATAAATAAAAACTTCGAGAATTTGAAGTAATAATTCATGTGGCGAGTAGGTGAGCTCATCTTATAGCCTGAACTCGCCAACTCTCTTGTGGAATGCCGCTCGCCATCTAATGGGTGATTCTCAAACTACACTCTAGCGGTGCAAGAGCGCTTGCGCAGCTGCAGCGGGAAGAGCGCATGCGCAACGGGGATTCACATATCATAAATCACTGTTTTAATAGCATAATAACATTTTAATGAAAAATCGGTAGATTTTATTATTGTTAAACCTTCCGGAGACCATGAAGATGATGTAGTTGCAAGTTGATAACAATTGGTTCAGTAGTTTTCGCGGTTAGCGGTTCCAAACGAAAAAGGGGCTGTCCTTTTATACATATAGTAGTAGGATATGTGTTTTAAATTATAAAAGGTGTAAAATATAGCAATATAATAATAATAAAAATATAACAGTAAGTTTTGCAATAAAAAGGGATACCATTTTAAGTGTATTTTCAATTTCATTCCCGATCTAACTTCAGATAAGTGGTAATTTCGAATTGTTCATAATAATATGATCAGCCATTGTACTATTAGCTTCAGACTGGATTAAACAAATAAAGTATTTCTTCAGTTAAAGCATTTCTTTGGGTAGTTCTTCGACAGAACCATTTGCAATGCCTTTCAGTGCACAAAAAATATGGTTGCTTTCAAATTTTTTAATCTGCACGTTAAAAAAGCACGTACTACATATTGATGTATTGAAAAATATATTTTCTTTGCTTGACATAACGAAATAGGAAAAAGTTCAAATGTGCTACATTTTTACCCCTGACTATACACATTTTGCTTATTACTTAAATATTTTAAATGTAAAGATCCAAACAGTTTTACTTACTTCTAAGCGGTGCATGTCCATTTCTTAGGGGCGAGGACACCATCCTTTCATTTCTCCTCTCGTTCCTCTCGTCCTCCCTTTTCTCGCGTCCTTCCAACTGTGCAATTCGCCTAAGCGCATCCGCGAGAGTAGCGCGAAGACAAACTATCTCGTCCCTCTGCGCCAAGGATTGCCTCTCGAGATCGGCCACTCGACCCAATAAGGATCCGGTCTCGCACTCCAGCATCTCGTCTGTAAAAGGAAATTCTCCTTTATATGCATGTCATGCAATAAACAGAAGGATATACTATTACACGATAAACCTTATGGAATTCTTTCGCGCTGTTAACGTTCAAAAGATATTCTATAATCTACAAAACTTCTGGCCTACTAATGTATGAGATTCTTCCACCATCACTGTTGATTGTATTTCAATTAACATGATTCTGTTTTGAGGGTCAACAGGAACGACAGCAGCCAGTACCGGTTTTAGCAATATTGGCGCCCTGTGCAAGATTATCGTGGTGCCCATTCAGGGACTCAAAATTTTTAAGAAAAAAAGACAAGGTAATAATATGAAACGATGAACTAGGGACACCGGGCTGCGGCGCCCCCTACAGATCCAGCGCCCTGGACGATTGTCCGACCCCCCACTCCTCTCACCTTCCACCAACGCCGGCACTGACAGTAGCACATTCTGAAGAAGTAGTAGGGAAATAGGAAAAAGTAATTCACATTTTTCGGATATAATTCTGAGAAAAATACATAATAATTATGATATTCATACTCAGGAGAAATATACCCAACGACATACAGTACGTTTCTTGGGAAAATTATAAAAAATTCTTCTATACAAATGTATTTTTAATAAGATTTTAAAGGCCAAATTGCAAAATCAGCCTGTGTACGATGCTGGCTAATTGTACAAAAAATATTTTGAAAACAAAATCATAAGAAAATATTGCTCCTTTGCCTTAAAATGTTTTAATCAAGAAATCGTAAAATTTGAACCTTTTTATGTCAACAGGACTGCAGGACTATTAGGAAGCTCAAGCTCCGTTAGATATACATAGTGACCAATGCAGATACATACAATGTAGAAATGTGAACGATTACTTTATAATTTAGTGCAATGCTTTATTCGAATTAAAATGGCACGTGCATTGATAGAAATTTATAAAATTATTAGGTATGTTGGTATGTGCTTGATACGTTTAATCCGGTTGATGCCATACGCGCTTTTTTTCCAACATTCAATCGAAGACAACGTCGCAAGGTATTAATTTCAACTGACTGCTGTTCGCCGTTCGTAAGTTGGCCGTCGGAGAAAATGTGCGTCTGATTGGTCGTGCCCCACCTTTGCTCAGACGGGCTTGCAGCCGTAATGTATTATTGGTCGAAGCAGTTACATCTACTGACTAGGCTCGTGTAAAATAAAGGAATCGGCGGTGTGTGCGAAGGATCCCTCTTTTCTCCTTCGTCGGCCGATAAAATTGCGTGACATTGCCCTACTACATACCAATTTTCCCGAACCCAGCGGAGCTTCGGATCCGTAAATAAGGAAAGAGAATACGTATTACGCGAGAAAGCGAGATAGATGGATTACAAAAGGATGCCGCGAGGAAAACAAATCAGCATCCAGTAAAGAACAATTACATTCGGACTAATTTTTGTCTTATCTTGGAAAAGATAATACCAATGGATTGTTGAAGTTCTTACGATTAAAATGAGTCCAAACACGATATAAATCGGTTTAATTTTACTTTAATTGGCTATTAATGATTGACTGGATCAATTTAAATTGATTAATAACAAAACTAGTCCGATTTACGTCGTGTTTGGTCTTATTTTAATCAGAAAAATATCACAAATCTGTTGATTAAAGTTTCATAGCAAACAAATTAGAAATAAAGAAGTTTCATTATTGCATTAGTATTGTTTTGCAGATATAGAGTGGATTGTTTTCGCTCCGTCCTCTTTCTCACTCGCTGTCCTTTTTTACGTTCGAAGCAATCGGCAAACTTCAAACAATGTAGGAACTACTATTGCATGATGCAGGGTCGGTTTTAGCAATATTGGCGTCCCGGGCAAGATTATCGTGGCGCCCATTCAGGGGCTAAAAAACGCGTTAGGGAAGATGTAGACATAAATGTCGCAGCATATATAGCATATATGTAATATTACATATGAGATGTAGATAGGGAAAAGAGACCGGGCTGCGGCGCCCCCTACAGATCTAACGCCCTGGACGATTGCCCGACCGCGCGCCCCCCTAACATCGGCCCTGGCGTGATGAGAAGTTGAGGAGCGGGACGGCACAGGGGCAAAGGGAGCACTTCGCACGCTCCTGTTCGTGGATCCATACGACGCAACAGCGAAACAATGTGTGCGATCATGGAATGTGCCCCACCAACTCTCTTACTCTCTTCATTCGGAAGTCACAGATATTTGTTCAGTTTGAATCGAAGCGTGCTGCTGTTGAACGGTAAGTACCAAATAACAAGCTATATTTCATTTTAATACATATGTTATATATACTGTGCAGAGATGAGATGTTGCGGAGGCTAAGGAGTGCCTTCTTGGTCTGTCACGCATCCACACCATTTGACTTTGCGGTGTGCAAGCGACGGGCTTAGTATGTGTATGAGCGTTTCGACCAATAACGCGCGACAGTCTAGAATGCGTGTGAATTAGGCGTGACTAGAAAATTCTGACCAATCATACCCGCATTCCTTAGCCTCCGCAACATCTCATCTCTACACAGTACATAAATATATGGGATGTGAGATAAGGGTGTTTGGACAGTATGGCAGTCGGATCGAGTGAGGTGTGAATGAAGAGTGTTTGGATCGAATGACAGTTCTTCGAAATGAGAATGCATGTGTCTACGAATCGGTGATCGAATGTGACCGTGTGTGAGTGAATTGAAGAAACCAAGAGAGTCGTAAGGGTGGAATGAAAAAGTTAGTTGTGCGTCAGCATCCACAGAGTATAGTTAGAAAGTAAGAAGTAAGGTTAGGAAAAAGTTGCACAGTGAAAATTGTGATTAAAAATTAATTTAATCATTAATGGTTGGTGGTGTGGTTGTATATAGTTCTGAAAACCATTCGCTCCCAATTTTTTTTTAAACACAGTATTACGTTTTTTTATACGCTGATTACGAATATCATAGTGAACAATTGGCAACTATTTGGCCATCGTAAGCCGGCCGGCAACGCTTTCGCGAAATAATAACAAATTCTTTACACAACGTTATTATTTGCAAATTCTTGTGGCGGTGACATATCAAGAAATTAAACGTAGATCCGTTTATTCAATTATTTCCGGATATTAGGATTTGCTATTTCGTGGCAGTACCGCTTCCGTTTGTGAGAAGCAGTTGGATCCACTGAGATAAACGTAAAAAACTATAATTTTTATTTTACCATGAAAATCAAGTAGTCGCCAAATTTCAGTATGATATTTGTTCAATATCATAAATTCAAAGCTTCGATATAAGCGTTAGCAGCTCGTCAACAAAGCGGTTTCGAGGTAACGGTTAGCAGCTCGTCAACAAAGTTCGACAATATTCTTTTTACGCGATCCGCACCGCGTCCCGTAGGACTGTTTTTCATACTTCGACCTGAGAAATGACAAATTCAATCGCTCGCTACGCAACCACGCGATGAGTGTGAGAGTCGAGTCGTCGACGAAACATTTATTGTTCAGAAAAATCTTTTCCTGAACTATTTCCAATCCCGCGGGCCAGTTTATCCTTTTTCTCAATCGGATCGGTTCGACAAAATTCGACCGAGACGAAACATAGGGAAACTTCTAAAAGGCCCCATCAGTCCAGGACAAACAAACTTCGAATTTATAGTAATTGAGGGACGAGAAATCGAATGAGGCCATTTTCAGAACTGGCAAATAAACCGTTCTCGAGATATACAGGGTATTCAAAAAGTGCGGAAACCCCCTATTACCTCGATAAGAACGCATTTTCACGGAAAATGACTAACCTAACCTGGGTTAGGGTTAGGGTTGGGGTTAGGTTAGTCATTTTGCGTGGAAATGCGTTCTTACCGAGGTAATAGGGGGTTTCCGCACTTTTAGAATACCCTGTATATCTCGAGAACGGTTTATTTGCCAGTTCTGAAAATGGCCTCATTCGATTTCTCGTCCCTCAATTACTATAAATCCGAAGTTTGGTTGTCCTGGGGTGATGGGGCCGTTCGGAAGTATACCTCGAAACATAATGACTATATTCATAATCAGCGTATAAACAATGTAAGAATACTGAGTTTAAAAAAAATAGGGGGTGAGTGCTTCTCGGATTGAGCTGTCCCACTTGTATGAAGGATTTCCCTGTTGCACCGATTTACCTGAATGACACATATAATTAAAGGGCAACTCAAACCATTCACGAATATCATAATCATTTCTTGCGGAAATCATTGGTTCATGAGATATAGCCGAAAGATTGGTTACATAGGGTGCGCGCGCTATGGGGTTGTATTGGGTATCAATCGATAGATCTTCTTGAGGTGAACAATATTGATCGAAAGACCATGTGGCTCAAATCAATAGTTCTCGAGATATCGTGACTCAAATATCTGCAGTTATATGAAAACTCGTGTACAGTTGGCCGAGATGAGGAAACAAGAGAAGGAGCTGGGAAACAGGAGATACTCCAAGTGGTGATTTTACTTGTATATATTTCTGAATGTAATTCCAATTAAAAAGACAATTAAAGAAACAAAAAGATAACAGAAGCAGAGTCGTTTACTTTGTCTGTTGCTTGACAGGATTTACGAATGAAACAATACAATCCCATAGCGCGCGCACCCTATGTAACCAATCTTTCGGCTATATCTCATGAACCAATGATTTCCGCAAGAAATGATTATGATATTCGTGAATGGTTTGACGTGCCCTTTAATTATATGTGTCATTCAGGTAAATCGGTGCAACAGGGAAATCCTTCATACAAGTGGGACAGCTCCTTTATCCACAATTGCGAACGGATTATTTTTTTTTAATTAATAAAACTTTTTTTTTTCAGAAAAAGATGAGTGCAGAATCAACGAACAATCGTAAGTACAATTCCAAATTCAATGGAAAATGAATATACTGCATGATTCAAAAATATGCATGTAACATATACATTTCTCTTTTTTCTTTCAGAAAACGCAATAACAACCATGGTGCTGCAATTGCAGCAGCAGGTGCAGCAGTTGCAGCAGCAGCAACAACAGCTACAGCAGCGGCAGGAACAGCTACAGCAGCAGCTGCAACAACAACAGCAACAACAGCAGCAACAGCAGCAGCAGGAGGAAACTGATCTAACAAATGCGCAGCTGCAGCCGCAGCGCGGCAAGTATCATAGATCTTATCAAACAAATAATTAACCCATTTGTGTCATAAATAATAAAGAATGAATTCTATAATGCATGACCTGTGTAACAGTTCAAATTTTACATTACAGGAAGAAGAACGGCTGCAGGGACGTGGCGGCACCCCTTTCGCGTGAGATGGCAGCGCGGCGGCAGGGGCGGCCGCGATACGCACTATTATATAAGTTTCAGATAAAAAAAAAATAAATAAAAATAATTAAAAGCTAATATTCAGATTGTTCTCGTTTATTTAATTAACCGACTCAATTCAATTAGTATATTTATTATTTTTTGTTCATGGTTATTACCTAACCAATAAGAAGGGAAAAACCACCTTACGATATCCTACCAATTTTACTCCTTCCACTAAAAACTGTGAAATAAAATAATTATTTATCAAAAAATACAACCGACTTCGAGATGCACTAAAAAGTACAAAATAAAATAATTTCATTAAACGAAATATAAATTATTTTACACTTTTTAGCGCATTTTGAAGTCGATTGTATTGTTTGTTAAAAATTATTTTATTTTATACTTTTTAGTGCCGCTTGAAATCGGTTGTATTTTTTTGATAAAAATTATTTTATTTATACTGTATTATTAACTATCTTTTTTTATATATTGTTTATTTATAATGAATTTTGTTCAATATAGTATAAACAATTACGCGTTTAAAATAGGTGTACCAAATGTTAGTATATGGGATATAACACTCACGCCATGCCTGCTCCGCTTCATCGATGGTGTCCATCGTGTCCGGCGTGGACATTGTGATTAACCCGTTGCGATGAACCCGACGTATTAATACGTTATTCAATTGAACTGATTAACGAGCACAAACAGAGCCAATGTACCGTCTCGAATCATGTCTCCTCGACCAACTAGCTTTTCCTTCAAAACACGACTGGAGCTCGTGAATGCTCCGTTGGACAGATCACTAATTAGCACACTCAATTCTTTTGTCTTGAAATTAATTTCTCCTCTCGATAATCTTCTCTGACGATCCTTCAATAAATTTTCTTCACTTCCTCATCGAAAGTGTTAATTTTCTCAGGATGTTTTTTTGGCTCGGCCGAAATCTTATTGATATTTTCTGATGCATTGTTTGCTAATTGTAAATAATAAAAATTAACTAAGTATATTCTTGATATATTTCTATTTCATAGATAAATTGTTAAACATTGGTAATATGGAAATTCATAATCACTGTTTTTCTGTGCTTGTGCAAATTTCAAAAAACCATTGTTCGTAATTAGCATTTATAAACTGAAATATTCTGCATATACACCCGTGTTCTAAAGTATTCGATCATCTTTGAGAATGTACACTCGCGATCAAATCAGGCTTCCCCAAGAGAAATGGCGATGACCCGGGTTCCTGCGCTCCCCCGAGTTCCCACCCCTCTTCATAGGCATTGCAGGGGAAAATAATGATGTGGCGTCATAGCAACTGCAGGTAAATTGCATTAAATTTTTATTAGTATAAATGAATTTTTAATTTCAAAATTATATTAACTTTGTTTAAAAATATGAACCTTACAGTCAGAAAAAGAAATGAAGTCAATTGCTTTCAAATTAAGCTCCAAAAAGTTAAAATTAATATTTTTCTTTTTAATCAGATAATATCAAATCAAACCTAAATTTAATTTTTATGGATAAAAAAGAAAAGTTGAACAATGAAGGTACATATTTTACTTCATGTCTGTCATACCCTTAATCAATTCTCCAAGTTTTGTCTATTATTTAATTTCAGTTAAGAAAGGACGACATTTGGGGTGTGAGGGCCCCTGGGTTGATAAACTTGAATCAAAAATTGAAATTTATTCTAAATGAAATTTAATTTTAAAAGGGTAAAACAAATTGAATTCAATATTTTTTAACATATTGAATAGAGGGTTTGGAAGGAAGCTCTTTGGAAAATGAGGCCCAGGACTGTAGCCTCTCATGGCCAAGTTTGATTGTAATAATTCTAACAAAGAATCGAAATATCGTTATAACATGTACCTATACCCGTTTGTGGTATCATAATAAACGGAGTAGTACGTATATACAGGGTGTTAAAAAATTCCCTGAAGACCTCTACACCGTTGAATAGATCACGAAAAATCGTAGTGAATAGTTTTGTAGCCTTTTTCGATGGGATCAGTAGTTTAGCCACATTTCGTTGTTGAAAATTGAAAAATTGACCAATCAGCGCGCAGCTTGAGTGGCAAGACATGCGGAGTAGAAGACTACACGGAATCGGAGTCTCCGTTTGCTTGCTCCGCCGCACAGTGCGATTGCTTCGGATATCTGAGGTTCTTCTCTACTATACTGCCACAACACATCCATATATGAAAAGAAAAATGAAAGTTTAATTTGATAGAAACTTCACGGTAGAGTGCCTATGCGTGGCACAATGCTCTACAAGCGTAAGCCGATTCCATTGCTTCTATGATCTTGGATACTGTTGAATAAATGCTGTTCATTTCAAGGTTCTTCTAACAATTAGTATGAGACGACTCTACTTATTAAAATTACACCAAGATTCGTATTTTATTTTTTTACATTTTATAAAATCGATATAAAATTAAGAAAAAATGAATATATATTCTACGAATAGGGAGTAAAACAAAGTATTTTTAACCTAATATATAAACGGCTTTTGTCTTGAACACAGAATGTCTAATTAATGTTATATGAATAATGAATACTGAAATTACAATATTTATTAAAATATTGTTGCGATTAGGGTAACGAAATTGTCATAAATATTATTGCATTTTATTGCAATTAATGTTATAAAAATTTATTACATAAAACGTAACTATTTAAATATTTTTAATGAAAACGTAGGCATTTAGAAGAAGTTTTGTTATCTTTCTGATTTTTAAAAATAATATCGTATTTGTAATCATTAGCTTGCAAATGTTTATAACAAATACATATTTGTATAGAAAATTAAACCTGGGTAGAAATTTGTTTTACTATTAGACAGTTCTAAAAATATATTTCATATTTTGTATAATGCATATTTTACCTAGTGTATATTTAGTTCATGTTGTATATTTCTTGTAAATTTCATGCATATTCAGAATTGGGTCATGAAACAATTGACAAATAAATTATTCATTACTTTCTGGAGTTTATTTCTGGTCTTCCGCTTCATAAATATGTAGAGGAAGTATAGCATACTTGGAATACTGTTGGTAATTTAAAGTACCAGAGTGTCTACAAAATTACAAACCTTAGCTAATTCGTATTATGTACTACAAATAACAAAGGCGAATGACCTATTAACCAATTCCATTAATTGCATAACATTGGCCTGGCCCTCCTAAAAATCTGGAATGGTTTCACCACAAAAATGTGAACTTTCACCATTCTAAAATTTCAGAATTCCAAAATTTCATAGTTTAGAGATTTTAAAGCTTTAACATTTTTAAATAGCTCTTCAAAATATCAAACTTTCTTAAATTTCTAAATTATCTAACCCAACAAAGAAAACAAGGTTCTAGTTATGCCAATGCATCTATAGATTTACCGTAATTTTGACCTTTCCAATAAAGTGTGTCGAAACTGTAGACTGAATCATTTAATTAACGTGAAATTTTAGCTTTTAATGTCGTGTTGCTAATTCGAAACACTGAATGATACCTACTTACTGAGAAAGGGGTATACCCCTTCTGCAATGTGGATGCAGCGTTTCATGAGTGAAATACAGGTACACTGTGAAAGTGTTGATTATGACCCCGGAAGTTAAGTACTGCTGTGACTACTCTAATCGTAAGTAAATTATAAGACTTAAAATTGATATATACCTACGATGAATGTTCCTATGCTGTGCTGTGATTTTTATGCTTGATTATAAGAGAAAATAATTGTATTGTCTACTTGTTTCTATAATTTTATAAAACGAAGGTAAGTTCCTATTCCAAATTACCTGCACCGTAACTTAGTATAATTTTTTAATTATACTAATTCAAATACTTTTTGTTTTTCATCATTAATGAGAGTATGAAATATACAGAGATAAAATTTTAGATCTTTTTTTTAATTAAAAATTTATTTTAAAGAATTTGTTCCAATAAATATTTTAAATTAATTTTTTATAAATTTTAAACAAAATGGTATTTCAAATTTATGTACTGCATTTCTTCCACGATATATTCCACGAAAAATGCAAGATTTCATGCATTTTCTAAAATTGGTAATGTTCTAAATAATGCAGCTATCGCAATTGTGGGACGAATATTGGCAAACGTATAAATATACTCCAACCACATTCTGTGACATTGAACAAACGTTTTCACTACATAAATTAATTGATAACGGTTTCAATTTACTGCTGACAATATAGAAAAACTTACAATTACATATTACCATACAAATACTAATAAATAGTAAATAGCAATAACAGAGTGATTCTTTTTGTATCATATGTCATAGTTCTATTTAAAAAAAAACTGATCACATTTCCTAAAATAATAACATAACAAAAATTCGTTTTCATTTATATTTTTACAAAAAGCTATATAAGATTCATACAAACAATTTTTTGTATTATTGATAGTTATGTAATTACGGGACTGTAACACTTTAATGAAGACATATTGTATACATTTCGCGTATATTCCAAGCTGTTCGAGCCAAGGTTCGAGCGAGCTTATCATGATAGCAGATGCTTCGCAAAAATTCCCCCTGCTCCGAAATGACTCTGTAGGCTTCGAAGATACACAGACGGCTTCCGTATTAATGGGCTTACATAAGTGATAACTTTTTAATATTTACAGCTTAAGAAAATAAAGGATAAAGTATAACAATACAGTGGCTCAAAATAGTATTCGGACACTCTTTAGAACAGAATACCACATTTAAAATTGGACCAAATAAATTGAGGTTTTTTGAGAAGTTATACAAATTAAATTACTACGATACGTGCTTTTGTCGTTTTAGAAAATTACAATTTGTTGAAATCGTGAAAGAAAATAGTGAAGGGTAATTTTTCAACTTTTTTACGTGAGCCAATAATGAAAATTTAAAATATGTCTTTCGTAGATTCAAATAAGTTACGTGTGTGCTGAAAATTTCATCGAGATCGGTCAACGCGTTTAAAAGTTACAAGTAATTAAAATTTCCGAAAATCGCGACTTTTCATCCAAGAACGGAACTAGTCACGTTTTAAATGAGGTATTCTGTTTTAAAGAGTGTCCGAATACTATTTTGAGCCACTGTACCATTGCATCGAACTTTATCGAATTGCAATCTGCAATAAATTCTGTTAAAAGTTATATATATACTGAAGTTTCTAAAAGTGTATATCAGAAACAATAGGTATACAAGATAATTACAATTGTATGTAAATTCATTACTGACGTGAAATTGTTTAACGACCCATTTCTCATAATTATACTACACCATAAAATGGTAAAAGTAAGCTGTGATATTCACTTCAATAAATTAAGGTGAAAGCAATAATTACATGAAAAAAATGTGCACATTATTCACTCTAGTAAATTCATTTTACAATTTTAGTTTTTAATCTATACAACAAATTAAGTTAAGAAATGTAACATTAACAGCATTACATAATTTGAACGAAAAAGATTCAATACCGATCCCATGGCAATAGTATGTGGGTACTTCATACCCACCATGTTACATAATTTCGAGAATTTCCCCTAGTGTGTTGGTTAAAACAAAGTTATCGATATTGCACGATTTTTATCCGATTTCGAAAAGGAGGAGGATACTCAATTCGATGTGTATGTATTTTCCTCTACAGGTATCTATTTATCTATTATAATACGGAAGCCTTTTTTTTAAATCACTTCCTCTTCTAGGATATTTAAATTAGAGAAATAGGACCTATACTGTTGGATAGCCCTAAATGAATAAAATCAGTAACAGTTTGAAATTTTTAATTTGGTGCCCTGGATCTTGAGTACGGATTCGTAAAGTCGGAAAAATGCTCGCATTAATCACTAAATAAATTTATTAAAATGTTGCAAGATTTTCGAAACCCTATATTTGGATATACCAGTATTGATATATTTGAACGATGTAAAGTACCCCTCCTTCCTGGCAGTCTATGAAAAAAAAATGATTGACCAATTATACACTTGAATTT